AATCACCATTGGATTCAATCACGCGTTCGCAGCGATCGATCCAGGCTTGAAAGACACGCTTTAAATCATCATGAGAAAATTGCTCAAATTGCTCTCTTACAAAATTTTCAAGATCATCTGGACTCGCGAATTCGCGTCCTTCAGCTCTCTTTTTTAGCGTGCCGAATAAATAAAAGTCAGAGGGTGCAATATCAGGTGAATAAATTGGGTTTGGAACAACTTTGACATTGTTTTCCACCAAGTAATTCATTACCTTATGACTTTTGTGAACTCTTGAATTATCAAAATGAATTGCAAACTTTTGTTTTTGTTGTTTGGATTTCTCAAACTCATCAGAATTGATAATTTGAGTAAGAACATTGTCAATTAGATACTGAGCATTCATCGTATTAGGTTTTTGAAGAATATCAATTGCGATGATGCCATTCACGCCCCAAAAAACCGACAACATCATCATTGGTGTGTCAATTTTTTTCTTCGGGAATGTTTGCGGATTTTCATCCTTCGGAATCCACATGATTTTGGCTTCTGTTGCATATTGAAACCAAGACTCGTCCCCTGTTACTAAAAAGCGAAACTTCTTGGATTGATACGCACCCAATATAGAGAGGAGCTCTTTCGAAGATTGGACTCTAGATTTTTTTTGAACTGAATTAAGGTTGTGCGGAACCCAACGTGTATACGCTAGTTTGTAGTTCAAATAATTGTGCAGATAATAACTGACTGTTGTACGTGGTATCTTTGTCATCTCCTCTATCCTTCTGAGTGATGCTCTTGGGTCTTCATCTAGCGCTTGAAGAATTGCTTTGATTTTTCTTTGATCCGGCGATTTTTTGTTAATTTTTATGATGGGCGCCTTTTTGTTCATGAAGTGATACATCCTAACATGATACGTTACAGTGGAATAGCTAGGAGCATCCATACCGAAGCATTTTACCAATGTCTCGTAGATTTTTTTACAGTCTTTGCATTTTTTTGCAAGAGCGAGGATGTTTTCTTTATGATTCATTAAAAAAATAAAAAAAATCCCGCCAAAATTTCCCGCGAAACCGCCTCTTGTCTCAAAATTCATTTTATATCCCGGCATGGCGCCAAAATACAACATACTCATCATATACATATATTCATATTTTTTATTATATATTTATAATCAGCATATATCTCCTTTAATAGTCTCATATAGAGCGCTGTGCTAAACGCACCTTTGGACACCCTATATATCTTCTGTTTCGTAATATGTGGTGCATATGGTTGCTGTATCTTTTGCAATTGAACGTCTTGAATTAATCTTCCATTATTTTCTTTACATTTCTCACAATGCTTTAAAAATCTTCTTTGGTTTTTCCTTTCTGGATCATCGCGGATAGAATAAACTTTTTCTTTACAATATGGACAAACTTTATAGCCGGTGAGTGCTTCAACGTCTGTTATTCTGTCAGCGTGAAGTTTTCCACATGGACTCTGTGTTAATAAAATATTTACTGTTTCAAATTCTGGATCTATCATTATTGATTCCACTAATGGAAAGTCTACCTTATTTATGTCCACGTCTTCTGGTTGAGGATCACAATAATAGAAATCAATATTAACATTTAACATTCTCGCTAATCTCTCACTTTCTGATGAAATGTCAAACCCTTCATATGCATCTATTGCTTCATTTAAATAGCTTCTACGAGTTTTAGGATTAACACCATCAGGAATGTTATAGAAGCGTTTAAATAACCTTCTCCCTTCTGCTCTAATTTGATTATCATTCATTTTAGCTGTTCCGTTTTTGTTCATTTATGTAAGAATAAAAATTAAATAAAAATAAAGTTTATTTATTAAAGCCCATAAAATGAATTAAGAATACATAAATTTTTATCATCTGCGACGTGACGAATACATTTTAATTTACTCAAGAATGCATACCCTGATACATTAAATCTAATTCCTGTCTTATTTAATTTCACAACTTTGAAAAGGAATGTATGAATAGCTATAAAATGATGAGAAGATGTTTTATGGGTTGCTTCCATTTTTTCTGAAATAAATGAATAAATATAATGTTTATAAGTTTTCATATCTTTTATGTTCTTAATAACGAATGGTATAGACCTTTCAACTTCGTCTTCCTTTGGTGCTGTTCTTTCATATGAAACATTATTGGTATCTTCAACAATGAAACCACAATCACACAAAATTTTATAGGTTCCAATGGTTTCTTTTGATATTTTATCTAATAAATCAAAAACTTTATCAACACCTGTGCATTTATTTAAATAATAATTTGTGTAAATATCATGATCTTCTTTTTTAATCGTATTAGTTGCATATGTCACGTTTTTAAGAGCTTTTTTGAATTTCTCAGAATCTAAAGGTGGTGAAAGTAATATACAAGGGTATTCTTCATTATCAATAAATTGTAACTTATGTTTATGAATAAATTTAGTTCCTTCTTCTGAAAGTGTTTCATCTATTTCACCATCTAATAAATTTTGTGTTGATTCTAAGACATAATTTTTATTCTTTCTTCATGAGATTTCTGAACTTCTGATTCTGAAGCTGGGATATTCATTAAACCCTCTACTTCATTTTCAACTTCTCTTAATTCCTTAATTTTTTCATCTATTTCATCTCTTATTTTTTACAGTCTTTCAATTTCATCATATTCATCATCTTTAATTCGTTCTTCATAATATTCAGGGAAAACATCAGGTTCTTTAGGTTTTTCTTTTTTAGATGTGGGATATAAGAAATTTATAACATCATCTTATTCATTTTTCCATCATAATCAAACTCATTTAAAAACTCCGCAAATTTTTGACAATTTCTTAAATAATATTTATCAACTTCATAACCCGCCTCCTTTAATATATCCTTTATTTCCTCATTTGTGAATCCCAATTTTTTAACGCTGTTAGTTGTGACACTCATTTCATACGAATTAAAAATAAATTATTCAAAAATGTAAGACATGAATCAAATAATTGATTTCATAAATTCAAATAATCATTAGTTTCTTAAAGTTCAATGTTGAACTCATCAAATTCATCTTCATCATCATCATTACCATTACCAATAGCGAGTTTATTTATTCTTTCGATTCTATCTTTTGATAGTCTATCGTTTAATTTTTTCTGAAGTTTTTCGTTACCAAGTTCTAAAATTTTACATGGATGATATTTAAACTCGTTAAATTCTTTTTCCTCAGTTTTAATCATTAATCTACAAAGAACTTTAGTGAAGTGGTTTTGTTGTTTAAACCACTTATCCTTAATATTTGTTATAAATTCAATATTCGGAATTAATTCCCAAATTTTTGAATTTTCGATTAATTTACCATCAAAGGCAAAAGCAATGGGTTTAATATTAAACTTACCTTTATAAAATAAACTTTCTATGTAATCATCAAAATAAACGTCTACTTGTTTAACTTGGGTGAGAATTGGTGAAAGTTTATCCATTAATTGATTCACAGTCACGAATCTTGTTCCGTTCATTTATGTAAGAATAAAAAAAATAAATTATTTTAAAATTAATGTTAATTTTTAATGTGTTTATTACATCATTTATGGGTTGAGTGTAAATGTCTTACATTTTTGAAAACTTTTAAATCTTGATTTATTCTAAAACGTAAGAATAAAACCGTAAGAATCATACATTTTACTTCATATGTCAAAAATAATGATACGAAATCGTTCAATATCGTATGAATTCTTACGTTTTCAAAAAAAGTCACACAACCCGTCATATACACTACTGTTTCTCATAATTTCTCAAAAAACATGATAACTTGATATTTGTAAATATCATACTTTATAACGTAAATAAGAACTTGACCTATTAGAGTGCGGGACAAATTTGCCAAGTGTCACCTTTTCAATAACCTTAAATTACGCTTTTCTAATTTTTTAAAAAATAACCATAAATTATATTTGAAGAAATTATGTCTATGATATATGTTTTATGCTAGAATCTTGGAGTTTTCATGCACTACACAAGAGCTCCAAGGTTCCAAGAGTGAATGCTCAATAGCAATTATAGAGATGTACCTTTTCAAAATGACTTTTACTGATTAAATTTAATCAATAGAAGACATTTTGAAAAGGTACCTCTACAATTAGATATACAAGAGATTCAAAGCTTCATTTCAGATAGATTTGAAACTTTGAAACTCTTGGTAGATTTTGAGTGAATGCTAACAATCATCTTTGAGAAGGTTTTCTTTAAGAAAACCTTCTCAAAGAGGTTTCTCAGGAGCTCTGAGGCTCCCTTTCGTAATGATTGGGAGCCTTGGGGCTCCTGAGACGAAGAATGGCTTCGCCGAATCTTTGATCAGCAGAGGCCAAATGAAAAGGCCTCTGCTGATGGATTCTCAGGAGCCCTGAGGCTCCTTTTCGTAATGATTGGGAGCCTTGGGGCTCCTGCAGCAGAGTATCGCTCCGCTCCATTAATTTTTTTAAAAAAGTGCCATGTGGCAAATTTGTCCTGTTCCCGACCTATTAAGAAAAGCAGTAATGAAAAGAAAATCTGAAATTCATAAAAATTACAAGTTTCTGATGACAATTAGCTTAATTAAACCAGGTACAAGATTATATAATTGTATTTTCTATCCAATTATCCATATAATATCTTATCCAGAAAAAATAAATTAATACCAAATGATTTTTTAACTAGTAAATAAAGTATTTTCTTTACACACACATTGTATATCATAGTTTTTTTTTGGTTTCGCAAAACATCCAAAAACAAATATGCTATAAAAGTGACAATTTTAGCAAAACGAAACCCTTATGGTCATTAGCTTTTCGTAATATACGAACAACTTTATCACTATTGATTAATTGAACTTTAAATTTAATCAATAATGCTGGAACAACCGTTGTGTATAATTCAACAACAAAATCGTCTAATCGAATATTCCTTCTCTCTGGGAAATAAGAATGCTTGAGAACTTTGAAATGTGACTCACTGACGTTATTAGTCGCGTCACCTCCGTTGCGATAGCGCTTATTTCAACGATCTAAATGATGCCTCCATTGCCTATCGAAGTACTTTTGGGCTTTCGGTTCAGTGGAAAGAATTTCAAGAATTCGATCATAAACTGCATCTAGGTCTGCAGCTTCTTCTTGAGTGAGGTGCTCTGGAACTTCTTCACTTGTTTCAAACGTTTCTTCTTCTGGAATAAATTCAGAATCGTTTGGACCATCAGAAGATTCTCGTGGTAAAAAGATTTGAGAAGGTTGAAATTCATTTTCGATGAATTCTTCTTCATATTGTTCCTCTTCTTCAATTTCTTCTGCTTGAAGTAAGTGAGATTGAGCTGGTTCCTCTCTAGGATTTTCTTCTTCTTGGTTCTGTTCTTCCTCGGGAGATTCTTCTTTAGTATCGAATACTAATAATTTCATTAGATTATAAAATTCTTCAAAATTGTCTCGTGATTTAAACTTATCCGCTTTTCTTAATATGGCGCGAAGGACATGCACGCCACACCAAAGAATATGACAGTTTGGAATACCTCGCTCAATTGCCTCGGCTATTTGTGGGGCGCAGTCCATACTTATCATCTCGGGTTCTCTATTAATATATTGAAAATAACGACAAACACAATATTGAATATTTTCGCTTGTGTCAGGAGAAATAAAGAAATACAAAAAAGGAAAAACAATAGTATGTTCTGTTTTTCCTGTGAGTGCATATAATGGAATGTTAGCCCTTAGAAGTTTATACGTTGAATCGATGTGAAACGTAGAAATTTGGTGACCAAGGGCCTTCGCTTCGAAAGGTGCATATAAAAAAACTAGTTTTCCCGGCTCAGAGATAAATTCAATTAAATCTTCTGGACAACTTTCTTGAACAGATTCGACAAAGATAGCTAAAGAAACTTTTTCATCCGAACTAAAGCGTTTGGAAACAATTTCAGCTCTTTGAGCAAATTTACGTAATGCATCTGGACCTTGTGCAAATATTGAAAGTAACTCTTCGTCTGTATATGAAATATTTAAGTCTTGGAAACACTTAAGTTGAGCTGTAGCATGATTCATATTGTTTTCAAAGTAATGTTTAAGATAATTTCTGACAAATAATGAGGATATTGTTTTTGTTGATTTCGGAGGTGCAGAATGATCATGAGAGTCAGAGTGGATTAGTAGTTCATATTTATCTTGATCTATTATCCGGACTTTGAATTTAGCTTGACATTGTGGATACTTACATTTGTATTCGATCGTGGAGTATTCTTTCCTGCATTTTTGAGAGTAGCCCATGCTAGCTTTTATCTCTTCTTGGATACCAAACTGGAGGAGCTCCATAGTGTTGAATATCACGGGCTCCATACAACAAATTGAATAAGGTATTTCAAAATTTGAAGGAAATGGTCCATCATTGAATGTAGTGGCCGGGAATTGAATGACATACAGATAGTTTGAGGAAATTTGTTATAAATTATAATATAATTGAAGAATTAATTATCAAAACAAGTCTAAGAGCCATTTGTCAGATTTTCCCGAAATGCAAGGTTAAGATTTTAGCAGCGACTAACTTTGAGTGTACATATATAATTGTTATACTGAGTACTTTCTATCTGTGTTACTTATTTGAGTCTAAGAGCCATTTGTCAGATTTTCCCGAAATGCAAGGTTAAGATTTTAGCAGCGACTAACTTTGAGTGTACATATATAATTGTTATACTGAGTACTTTCTATCTGTGTTACTTATTTGAGTCTAAGAGCCATTTGTCAGATTTTCCCGAAATGCAAGGTTAAGATTTTAGCAGCGACTAACTTTGAGTGTACATATATAATTGTTATACTGAGTACTTTCTATCTGTGTTACTTATTTGAGTCTAAGAGTCATTTCTACCATAGAACTAGATATTGTCTCTCATTAAATATATATAACTGTAAACTGCTTAATTCATTTATCTATTTAGATAAAATTATATTTATATAAGATTTCATGTTATTATTTCATCTTTATTATTTTTTTTATTCCTTTGAAAAGTGACACTGGATAGTTTGTCCCTTTCTCTTTATTACCAAGTCTATCTCAGCAATATCTAATTATACGCCTTTAATATTTAAAGCTTTGAGTTATGTCTGATGCAAGCAGTGAATATACAACTACCAAATCTCTCTAAGAAGATACACGTTTATTCGTAAGAGACAAATGAGCAAAAAATGATTTGATATGATTACTGTATATATCTAATAATGTTTCATCTATTTTAACTGGAAATTTTCTATTGCCGCAGTTCAATGCTGACAATTCAGATAAATTTATATATGATTCTTCATATTTTATATTCTCGGTTGTAATTCCTGGAATAATAGTTGGGCTGCTCTGTACATTACAATTTTTAACCAAGAAATCGCATCCATGATTTGCAAATAATACTAAACCAGGCGGACCTTTATTTCCATAGATAGAACAGTTCTCAATAATCATATCTACAGAACTATCAATTAATCCTCCATAGTCATCATATTGTTCGTTATTCAAAATATTGCAATTAGTAATATAATGGATTATACTATATGATTGATGGCCCATAATAGACCATTTAGGTTTTGCAGTTGTATTTTCAATTGTGCATAATGAAACTACTGTACTTGAAGTCCGTGAAAAAAAATATCCTGAGCCAACAGACACTTTGCATTTGCTGATATTTGATGCTCTTAGGGAGGCATTTCCATTGAATACGCATATAGTGATCTGAGTTTTTTCATTCCCTAGCTGACTAAATGTAGATTCATGAATAAAGTTAATTTTTTCTGAATCGAGACAATCTGAAAAAGAGTGATGCCCTCCTCTATAGTCTTCTGTAGTTGATTGTGATGAAAATGAACAGATTTTATGCTGGACAAAAGAGCTACTGCAGCTAAAATATACATTCGCGCCATTTTCTGTGCTTGAATTGTTTTGAAATATGCAATTTGAATGTAATACTTTTATGTCATTAGTTTCGTATTTGATTGAGCTGCTTGTGAAGTCGAAGAAGAAGCAGAGTAAGACAAAGCACTCTTGATTTGTAATATTTGGCTTGCAATTGTTACATGTGATAGGAGCGGACTGACTGTTTGAATTATAAAAGTAATTCCAAACATCATTAGGAACTTTTGAAATCTAATTTTTATTTCAAACACAAATTTTGAGAGGGTTGTCAAAAATTTTTGAATATATGCTCAAAAAATCTGATTCGACTGACAATAACCTCTGCTAATTTGATTTCTACTGTATTTTTGTTATAGAGCAAGTATTGTATCTAAATATATTGAAATTTTTGAAATTTGGAATTCGATTTTGGAAAAAAAAGCTTTTAAAACTATAATTTATGAAAGAATGGACATATTTTCCAATGTAAATTGATTAAAGGCAATTATGCCGATACACTTAAGAGAAAAAATGAAATCCATGTCTTTCTTATGAAAATGCCTATGGGTAGTATTGAAAGAAGATAAGTATGGCTAATCTTACTCATTGTTTTAATTATTATATAAGGCTCCATAGGTATTTGCAGTCATTTTCAATTTTGAGAATCCAATCATTTTTTAAAGTTTTAGTGTTTCTCTTACACCATCTCAATTGATTTGTAGGAAGGTTACTATATCAATAAGTACCCATCTGAGCTCTTGTATATATTTTATATATTAACAATGAATAAAAATAAATCCATCTCCAAGAAAAATTAAAATTTTTATAAAGAATAAACTAAAAAAATTTTAGTAGTATATTTATACGTCTTGTCCTCCGAGCAGGGCGTTTGTGAGTGTATCCTTCTTTGCTACCTGTTTCTTCTTTATGCAGATGGTGAGGTAGACAGAAAGGAAGACAATCAGTGCTATTCCTGCAAGGGATGAGAACGTTGCAATAAGAATTATTGCTGTCTTAGAAAGTTTGCTCTTATGAGAATTATCAACATATGCAGCGTGGATCATGATGCAAGTTCTATCATTAAATGATTTCTTGCATTGGAACTCGAATGGAATTGTCTGATTCGCCTTTCCTGGAACAATAAATTTGCGATCCCAGTATTCACAAGCTAAGTTCTTTCCGCAGACAATTTCGAGACTGACATTGTTGAAGTACTTCACTGATTCGTTCATTGTGTGGAAATCATTGAAGTAATCAGTTAATATCAGATTCAATTTCGCCTTTGTCTGGGATAGGGTGTTCGGCATGTCCAAAACTGCGTATGGTAAGAATCCTGGTACCCATGTGAGGTTGAATTCGGCACCTTCGTCGTATGAAAATTCATCAATTCGTGCACTTCCGCCCATTTCCATTATGAAGCTCTTGGAAACGTGCATACGGTTATGTTTATGAAAATTTGGCCCGAGGAAGTTCACTTTTTTGATTGAATAAGATTTGAAAGTAGATTCATTGATATTTGTCTTCGGACCGAAAGAAGCTTCACCAATAGAGACAATACCTTCTGATGTCTTTGGTAAAAATGCAACTTTGTTGTTCAAATTCAAATATCCTGGGAAATTCATCGTATTTGAGCTTGATTTCGCAGTAAATCCTGTAGAATTGGATGTAACAGGAATAAGATCATCATCGGTTTGAATAATACCATCTTCAAACTGACCAATTTCGATGTTATGAGATTCAGGATCAAATTTGCCTTTAATTGAAAGGGTATTTGATCCAAATGAGTCTATAACCAATGAAGCTGAGTTTGTCTGAGTACTGTCTTCATTAACGACCGTAAAATCGTCAGTAATCCTGAATGAAACTGAAGGCTTTCTTTTAACGATTGGAATGGATATATTCTGGCAGTCCGGACACGACATACTGATCTTGTTGATGGAATATGTTGCTTGCTTGAATGCATCTGTATTCAAATTCAAATTTGAAGGGAAAATTGTTTTTAGAGTAGCATAAGATGATTCATCAGCTGTTACTTCAAAAGGTCCATCCATAATCGTGTAAGCAGCGTCAGTTGTCAACTTGGAATCTCTCATAAAAAGAGATGTGTTGATTTGATGGTTCCAATCTTTATCAACTGTAACTTCGACACCAGCAAATGATGCATACTGCAATCCACGTGATAAAACCTTGCTATCCAGCAAAATTCTTATATAATTTTGTGAATTTGAGGTGAAAATCAAGGCAAGATCAGGAGCAGTGAATTTTGAGAAGTCGTAAACCATTGGCTTGTTGTCGGAATCGACCATTTCATCTATAACTTTAAATTCTAACAAAGGAACGTCAGCTCCTGCATATTTCTGCCATTCTTGGGATTGCTTGGGATCTGTGATGGAGATAACTTCGTCATCGCAGACAAATTTCTTGTTCTTGGGGTTAATACAAAATTGATATGAGATATTAGAGTAATACTTGGACATTTTCATGCCAACGCACTTATCACTACCTTTCTCATATGAAACCTTCTCGAAAACTGACACACCGCGTGAAAAACCACGGTTAATATTATATGAATCGAATTGTATATCGAAATGGTCAGCATTGAGGTTCGGAGCGCACATGAATTCATATATTGTTCCATAATGTGCCTCAATATCAGCAGCAGTTTCGATTTCTCCGTTATTAAGGTAAGGAATGAAAGTTCCCTTGGTCATTGACACTGATCTTTCAACAGTAATGAGAGCAGAGCCATTTAAGTCGAATGGGAAGTAGACAAACTGCTCTCTCTGTATTCTCAATTCCGAAAAGTGCAAATAAACCTTTTGATCGGGGAATCTCTTAAGGCAATATGTACCGGCACCAAGGAAATTATGGTGTAAACCAGCTGGAGTGTCAATTGATCGTATGAAAAACTCGAGATTTGGAGATTCGTTATGAATTGTGGTATTTGACCTTGAACTGACGAGTTTTTCAATGACCATTGTGCATTTCATGTTCGGATCTAACGCTTTAACTGTAATACTGTCGCCAACTGAGTACAATGAGTTGAATATTCCGCAGACACTAGCATTTGCAATCAATGTTAAGGGGTTGGGTGAATATCTGATACGGGCTGGAAGTCTGTACTGTGAGAGAATGATTGTTCCCGGTCCAAGTCTGTAAATATTAATAATTTCGGTTGTTGTTTCGGGCCAAAGGGACTTGGGGAATATGATGGTGCTCTTATCTAGGAATACTGTGAATCCGATGTTATGGTAATGAGGTCCACGAGCGTAACAGTTCATATAAAGGTGAATACCATCTTTTGTATAGATATGGAACGATGGGATATCATTCATACAAATTATATGGTATTTGATATCAGAATTGTTAACTTTCATGAAGTAAATGTCGTCTCCAAGTAAATTAACTGAAGTTTCGTTTTCCATCATACTCATTTTGATGAAGTTTCTCGAAGATTTCGTGCAGTACATTCTGAGGTAGTGAGATTGGTTCAGTTGTTGTATATCACGGAAGAAAAATTCAATTTTGTTTGATGCATTAACAAACGCGAATGCTTGAGAGGTTGGAATATCAATTCCCAAATTCTGGGCGTGAATTCCGATAGGATCTTTCGCATCAGGGAAAATACAATCTTTGAACTCAATCAATGGAACTTTGATATCAGCTGTAATTCCTTTGACACTAAAGTCTGTGATGGCATAGAATGTTGTGTTTCCGCAAAGATCGAAGTTAATGTAGATTTCAGTATACTGTTTAGACGAATAGAAGGCCAAACGACGGGCTTTGATATTATTAATTGGTATTTCATATTTAGCTGAGTGGTTTTCTACTACGTAAACATTAAGAGTCGTATCGTTTTTCGGTACTAATGATTCAATAAATTTTGAAGAAAGCTCTTCGAAAGAAATAGGTATGTGAGATTCGTTGCATAAGTCTTTGTGAGATTTGTATAAGCACACGTTAGTGCTTAATGCAAGTGAGGATAGAAAAGAAATCAAAAACATTTATTTGTTATCCAACTTTTATCACGTTTCCAGATCATAATTTTTGTAAGATTTCAAATTTCAATTCAATTCCATAAACCACCACAATCATCAAAATGCCTGAGTGAAGTTTATTTCGAGGTATATTCTTAAGTAATGATCATAAAATGTTGAAATTCATCAAAATTGCCTTATCATTAATGAAATCATAGGGTTTAACCCTCTTTATTTGCAAGACCCTTTCTAATAGAATACATCCATCATACAAGTATTTCCTTATTTAGCTCAATATCTCATTGAAATTTCCACATCAATTAAAAATAAATTACAATTATATAGGAAAACTGTTTCTATGTTTATTCCCTACTTTATTTTTGAATGTTCTATTTTAGATTTTAAATAAACGTACACCAAAAAATTTGTTTATAGCACTTTCCGATGTGGGTTGACAATGTAGGCAGTAAAATACCCACAACACGGAAAGTGTTTTATATTACATCATATAAAGGAGAACACTTCTTTATAAAACCAGGAAAATCCTTTAATGATCAAAAAGGTTGGGAAAAAGTTCCAGTAACTAAACCAATAAACAATAAAATGGCAAAAATGGTTGCATCTCCTTTAGGAAAAGCCGCAATTCATTTCCCTAAAGTTGGTGCTTACATCGCAATTCACGAAAACATATTAAATGCTCGAATGGTATTAGTTCCTGTTCCAATTACTAACTCTGATAAAGCATCCGAATATTTATCAACTGCAATTCTACCAGACGGTACAAGAGTTTTTATTACTCGCCCAATCGATTCACCTTCAAATCCTTATTGCAAAACATTTGCATATGACGAAAATATCTCTGGTTTAGCTGTTAGTGATACCGGCAAAATTGCTGCGATTGCAACAAAAGAGCATTTTTGGGTTTGGCAACAGCTCGAAGAATGGCCGAAAGGAATTGGCTATTGGACAGATCTTACGGCAGATTCTAGATTTGGAGTAAATCTTATGGTAAATCATCCAAGAACTGATCAACTACGAATTACTCATGGTTTCATGAAACCAAGACAATCGTTTACATTACATCCAGCACTTTCTCCAATGCTTCCATCTAATTCTGCTGTTTGCTATCAAGATCTTTGCTTATTTGATAATCCAGATGAAGGAATGGGAATTGTCAGCTTAACAACACTTTTACCTCCATCAAGACCTTTTGATACTCTTTATATGTTTGTCTCTATATGTCATTTTCATACAGGCAGAAAACCAACTTTTGAAAGACATTCCTGCTCTCTTCCAATTGTAGAAGGAGGTGGAGCTCCTTGTATTTGGTGGAGCAGCTGTTGTAGAACAGCTGTTGTTGCTGTATCTCAATCTTTAGTAATCATTACTAGATATTTATACATTGTTAAGGTTTTGCCTCTTCATGATGTACTTCCAGGCGATAGACCTGAAGTTGCTTCTATTGCATGGTCAGCTTGCGGCCAATTTTTCCTTGTTACATCAAAAACCGGAGCAATTTCCGCAATTACAAGAAATGGTCACTCAATGAAGCACAATTTGTGTGGTCTCACGCCATTTGGTAATGGTAATTTCCCATTACTTGCAGCAGGAGATGGATATGATCCAGGACTTTTTGCTGTTTACTCAAGAAATGAAATGAGATGTCTTAGAATTGACATTTCTGCGATTCAAAGATCATTAGACATCATGATTGCACTTCCATTCCCACAAGGTGCTGCAGAACCAATGTATGATCACGCTAAAAAATTAATTGAATACGGAGATTATACAGACAAGAAGAATTTGGCAGAATTGTTATTCTTAACGAATGTCTATAGAATATTCCCATTATATAGTCCATTAAGATATACAATTTTCCAATCTGTTAGTGATGCAGCAATTAAATTTTACGAAAACGGTGAACATTTGTTCTCAATTCTTCTTGCAAGATGTGTATTCTGGATTACAAACAAAGAACTTCCAACATATAGACCAATTATGGAAAGATTAGACTTTGCAAAAACTCCAAGAGAAAAACACATTCTTCATATCATGAAATACGAAGTAGAAAGAAGAGATTGGATAGAAGATCAATTCAACACCGATAGTAGAAACATTATGATGTATGATCCTGAAGAAGCATCAAACATGAAAGAATTTGAAAGGCCACCTGATGGATCTGATGTTGATGTTGGTTTAGTTTGTAGAATGGTTAGAACTGCTCTTTATTCCAATGATACAAGTACATTTTTGGATGTACAAACAAATCTTCGACCACTATTCGATTATTTGTTATTTGCAGGTCGTATTGATCAAGCTTATGCAGTTGGAAAACATCCTTCCATTGGTCTTGAAGGAATTCCTCTTGCAAAAGAAATTATAATGAGTGTTGCAACAGATCCTGTGAGAATATGGCGTGCAATGCAAACATGCATATCCCAAGATAATGAAAATGAACTTGGAATCAGAGCTTTGGCTGTGAATGCATTAAATGACATTCTCAAGAACAAAATTGTTGAATCAAGTCCAGACAAAAACGGAAAAGTGAAGCCTCTTTCTAAATTAATAGAAGTAGAAGATGAATTCGAAATGGTTTGTCCAGAAGATGAGAAACAAGTTGAAGATTTCGCTGTTCTTGTTTCTCTAGCAATTGCTGCAGCAGATTACAGGAATGTTACTAATTTCTTAAAGAGACACTATGAAGAAATTCATGAAACATTGAAAGATTCTATTTATGAATTGTTTAGATTATTATGGTTCGTGAAATACCGTTATTCAGCTGTGCAAGAAATGGTTGGTGGTGCTGGAGATAGTTGCTTGAGATTACTTGGATTTTCTGACTTCATGAACATTGATGCAGTCAAAGAACACATTTCACAGTTCCCTACAAGTAATTTCTCACCTGATATATATGCTCATTATATATCAGGATCAAGAATCTACACAGAAGATCCTGGTTTTGTTGACTTCGCAGAAAGAATTCTTGCAAACATCAATGCAAGACAACTTACCAGGATCCAAACTGCTGTTGATAACTTCACCCAAGGAAAGGATACTGTTCCTTCTTCTCGTCTTTTGTTTGCATTAGTTGTTACTGATATTTTACCTTATTTAAGATGTGTTTTAGCTCGATCATTAACAGGATTTGAGTGTGGAGATAAAGTTCCTGAAGATTTCAGAGATCTTGAAGACTTCCAGCTTCCTGATGGTCCAGAAGCCAGTTTAATCATTGAAAAGCCAACAAGTGATATCAATGAAATGTCTGGTTTATCAGCTGGCGAATTCCATCCACCAATTCAACCAAAGATCCCTGCAAAGAGAAGGAAACACAGAAGGAAAATGCGACAGAAAGGAAGTTCCTCTGATGAAGATCTCTCTGATTTGCGAAAGAAGAGGAAGCCAAGGCCAGTTTCTGAATCAGATTCCGATGATGGAGATACATTACAGCCATTGTTGTTTGATAAAGTCGGTAGACACAGAGCTCCAGATAATTTCGACATTCCACCAATGTACAATGATTTTGGAATGTATCCACAACAGCCTTATCCAGATTATACGATGTACGCGATGCAAGTTCCTGATATCATTCATGGTTATGCAAATCCAAATCCAGAAAATGCTTTCGGACCGATTTGGGATTTGGATCCTGCAGATTTTGTTCGCGAAGAAGAGGAAGTTCCTGTCAGAGAGAAAGAATCAGATGCAATTAAACCAACAAGATCGAATGCATCTATTAACACAGAGATTCCATCCTACCAGCCCCCTCCACCACCTCCTGTTCAATCTCCACCTCGCGAAAGGTTCCCGAGGATCATCTTTGCATCAAGGCCAAGTGGTCCTCCAAATCCATATCCTAACGACTACGACTTAGAAACATCTGAGATTTCGGATATCGATTTGCGTCCACCTCAGTCGAATCCAATGCCTTATTCAGATCCATTCCCAACGGATGATGCACTTCATAGGAGAGTTATTCAGCTCTTAGATGAAGCAAATGGAGATCCAATTCCTGCGGGACTTAAGCCAACTCCAACATTCAAGAGGCCTCCTCCAAGAGACGATAGAGTTAATATTCCACCAATTCCTGATTTCGGAATGACTCCTCTAGTTAATTCACACATTTCACCAAGATCTGTTACTGAAACTGAAGAAGAGCACTCTTACAGATATGAGAGAGTTACAACAGTCACAAATGGACCGCCAGGAGATGATGGCGCAGTCTTTAATCCTAATGAAGGATTGGATAGTGATGAAGGCGGATTCCCAGATTTCAAGCCAAAGTTAATCAACATGAAAGATCCAAGAGTTATTTCTGTGAGAAATCCAAACGACAGAAAGTACCAGCAGCCTTCCCAGGTTAATCAGAAGAAAGCTGTTCTGCGAGAAGTTACTCCAACAAATGTCCCACCTAAGTAATTTTTATATTTTGTGTATTATTTTTGTTTATTTATAAATATTCATTGTGTTTATTATCAACAATAGCAAACTATGCTATAATTCTTTATGAATATGACGGTATTCCTTCCGAATTATCGTCTAACTCTGATGGCATTACAAAAACTTTTGACGAATAACTTCAAAATAATTTGAACGTTGGAAAGGCTCGAGAGCATAAAAGTATGTAGAGCAAATTCTCTATGTTATAGTTTCAATAAATTTGGCTTTCCAAACAAATGGTTTGATTCTGATTTGTCAGTTTTTTATTTCTAAAAAAAATGGAAGATAATATTTTAGATGAAGGCGATCTCAAACCAATTCCAATTAGTAATGAGGATGAAGATTTCAGTTCAAACAACGGAATTCTCATCATATTTCCACTTCTTATTGTCTCATTAGTTGGATTGTTTGCTGGAGTTAGGTCGCATTCTAAAAGAGAGTCATTAATTTATTCAGGTATGTTTGTAGTTGAATCATTAGTATGTTTTATCATCGCAAACTTCATTCCTGTTTTGATTTATCAACAATCAACCAAAAAATTCGCGGTATTTTTACTGGTTATGGCTGGCACATGCGCTGCATCATATCACATACCACACTCCATTAAAATGTACATATAGAAATTAATTTTATACAAAAAAACGAATTTATTGTTATTAATATATCATTTATTGTTATTAGTAAACTATAAAATTTATCAGGACTTGAAAATTATTACGATCTTTTTCATAAATATACAATATTACTAAATTTCAGATAAAAAATTTTTATATCCAATCAAACTACATAATATTAATGATAATTTGTTAATTACTATGTCAGGAAATATTGATTTTCATGTTAAAATTCCAAAATCTTAAAAATAATTTTGAGATATTTTGATGAATTAATATAAAAATATATTTTATTTCTTCTACAAAAAATATATACAAAGATATTAGCATTAATCACGCCTGGACACTTTCTTCGGGTTCAATTTCGTCGAATAGTGATGGGAAGTCCGCCGGATCCGCAATTGCTCCAGAGATTCTTTCATTTGGAGTATGTTTCTTCCATTCCTGGACGGCCTTCGACATCATCTTCGGACATCTTGTTCTTGCGAAAATTGCAGCTTGTGCGTACTTCTCGCTAGCAATAAGTATGTCAACGCATTCCTCGAACATGCCAACAGCCAACGCTGCTGTAAAAGCAACGTTAAGTTGGCCGATTTCTTTGGCTTTTGTTACTAAATTTTCGATGTCACTTTTTCTGTTTTGAGACTTGTAAAGTACCAGTAAAGTACTCAAATCTCCACATTCGAAAAGTGCTTTTTCAGCCAATTTCATTTCACCTTTTCCGATTGCCGCTCTAGCCAATCTTCTCCACATTGTCTGGTCCGATGCGCACTGGCTTGCTGTCTCCAGCTCTCCAAGCTCGATCGCCAAATCGAATCTCATGGCCGTGTCATTCGAAACTAAAAGTGCCAACTCATTTTTACCGAGTTGTTTGAGGAACTTGGCTGTACGTGCTCTGTAGTCTTCGTCAACGAGCTCTGGGTCTGCCTCTTCGTCTGCGGCAACAGCACTTTCGAAATCAAGGAGATTTGGTGGTAAATGAACTCCTAATAATGTTCTCATCTGGTCTGCAACCAAAACAACGCCTTCTCGTGGGAGATAACCTATTAAATCAACTGTGTTCTTGAAGCTGGCTGTTGGCAAAACGATGCCGGCTGAGATTCTGTTGACTTTTTGGCCATCTGTGAATAAAAGTATGCCGTTGGCCCAGCAGATTGACGAAGCTTTGCCATCGACGTCATAGACAACGTCAAATGAGTCTTCGTAGCCACTTCCTTGAACAAATTCAGATTGATATTCTGAATTGTATGAGAGAACAACGATATTTGTCTTTGTGCGGATGGCAACATAGTTACCATACCATAATACTTCTGATGGATGGACTTCTATGCGTCTGACTAATTGAAGATCTTCCCAATCGTAGAATTCCAAGCCGTTGTTGACCAAAGCTCCAATTAACTCGCCACCCCAGATCTTTAGAGCAAATACATTCAAGACCTGGGAGTCGTCGAAGCTCTTGTAGACAGTTATGAGTCTATTTGTGTTTAATGCGGCAAAAGATGTCGAATTCGAGCACCAAATGAAGGAAATACCATTTCCATATGCTCTCGATCTGAATCCGAGTGTCGTATATATTGTCCATTCGTTCTCTCCGCAGACAGTGATGTATCTTCCATTTGGAGAGTGATGTAAATGAACTGGCGTTTGGTCGGACGTTATTCCCTCTTTAAGAGGAAGCGTGATTTCGGATCCGTCAACGAAATCTGGCATGTTTTTGAGTACAGCAACGGAAACTTCGGCTCCTTGAGCAATAATGAGCTTTCCTGTAGGATCAAGGGACATGGGTGTTCCCAAGTTCTTGAATTTGTGTATTGTAAGGCCTTTGTCGTGTCCGATTGCCATCAATGGAGGACAATTAGAGAAACCAAGGGCCCAGCCACGCTCGAGAGCTGAACTGAGTCTGTTCTCTTTCCTAAACGTAATTGATGACCATATGATCGTAGAGTTATCTTCGGCGGTTGTTATGATTAATGGACGTGTTGGATGAAATTCAACGCGAGTGACGTTGTTGTCATGGCCTTCGAGGGTTGTGACAACTGAACGTGATTGTAAGTCGATGATTGTGACTATTGTGTCATCGGAACCCGTAGCAATTAATGATCTGTCGCCATTGACAGCAAATGAGATAGAGTTAACGCATTTATTGCTAACTCTTTGAGTAAAGCGTGGTTGTTCGCTGCCCATATCCCAGAAAATAACGTTGCCATCTAAAGAACAAGATGCAAACGTTGTTAAATCGCGAGGATTCCATTTGACGTCCATAACGATACCTGTATGGACTTGGAATGTACGAATAGCTGTGCATCCTTTGGAAATATCCCATAATTTGATCGATAAATCATCTGATGAAGAAAGTAATAGCATTTCGTTTGGATGAACTGCAAGTGAGCGAATGTAATGATCATGAGCATCTGGAATTTCTAATGTTTGTTTGCCTTTGACTTGGCTGTAGAAATTTAATGAACGATTATCACCTCCTGTGACAAAATCGCCTGTTTTTGGTATCCATCTGCATGCACGAAGTGGTATACCTTGATGAACTGAATATGTTCTTATAATTGAACCGCGTAATGCGTCAACAATAATAGCTTCACCAGTATAAAGCGCAGCTAAGATTATTGGCTTTGTTGGATGGAAGTCCAAGCATTTTACACGCGAGGACGGAATTACGAAAAGGGATTTCATCTTGCTTAAGCTCATTTCTGGAGGACTGATTTGTGAAACTCTGTCTGAAGGGAAAATATTATCATTTCTCTCTTTTTCTTTTGCATATTGGATTCTAATCATATGTCATAGGTATTTTTAACTTTTATGGTTCAAAAACAAATTATAATAGCGACGATATGAGTTATTTGGTCAGATCTGGACATAGAATGAAAAGGCTGGATTTCGAATTCTAGTTTTTTGCAGATTGTAATTCCAAAAGATGTATGAAACACCCATATTATATACAATATGTCATTCTGCATCTCATATAGTGAAACATCAACTTTGCGTATTCCTTTGAATGATTGCTTTACCTCATAACACTTGATGATTTTAAGGCTTGCCCTGAAAAATAATGAATTGAACTTCATTCACTTTAAAATTCAATCAATACAAGCTTTAAAAGTGTATCATATCGAACAAATAGAATACCATACTTGTGACATTCAATAACATAGTGATATTTAGTTATTTGAATTGTCATCATTATAATTGAAGTCATTTTTTCTTCATTCTAAGAATTTGACATGAAACAAAAGAAAAATGATTTAATTGGGTGATAGCGTGCTTCGGCATGCATTATCAAAATCGATTTATTTCAAATAAAATTGGGATTGAAAGGGTTTGAATATTTATTCAATTATTTCAGAGAAATGTGTGTCTTTCAAACCCATTTTGAATTAAAACATTTTTGTTGATGCTTCATCCAGCACCTATCAAGCTCATTATCTTCGACAACGATGGAACACTCATGGATACAGATTGGGTATTCGATGCCGCACACAAACAGTGCACTGGATTTGAGCAAACATGGGAGCTCAAGTCCAAGATCAATGGTAAGACTCCAATTGAAGCATGCAGGATTACATGTGAATACTATGGCTTAAAGGAATCCCCAGAATCTCTCTTACAACGTCGTTTGCAAATCGAAGATGAAAATTGGCCAAAAGTCCAATTAATGCCGGGTGCAATGGATATTGTTAACGAGTTCAAGAAGAGAGGTCTGAAAATGTCGATTGCAACTGCATCGACAAGAGATGGCTTTAACCTCAAAATTACAAATCATCAAGATTTGCTTTCCCTGATGGATGCTACTGTTGTAGCAGATGAAGTCAAGCATGGAAAGCCAGAACCAGATCTATTTCTGGCTGCTCTTGCCAAATTCCCTGGAATAAAAGCTGAAGAAGCACTTGTTTTTGAGGACTCACCTCTCGGAATAAAGGCGGCAAACCGCGCTGGAATGCCTTGTGTTTTTGTTCCAGATAAACATCTAAATATTGAGCAAACGATCAAAGACCACAATATTTGCCCAACTTGTGTCATTGAATCTTTTGCACATTTTGATTTTACAAAATTCAAATTTAATTGATTTTATTTGAAGAGAATTCTTAGCCTCGAAATATCAAATTCACTCCACAAAAAGTTCATAAAAATTATCATCTCATTATCATAACGTAATATTATTTTTTTTTCTTTTACAAAATTTTTATTATCAGAAACTATTCCAAAAGAAATTAAATTCAAAAGATTCAATAATAAAATTTCTTATTAAAATTGTAAAAAATGCTTTGAATTAGATAAAATAATGCGGTTGAAGATGATATATATTAAGAAAATAACCTTATATTTTCAAATTTTCGAAAAATAATTAAATCAAAATCAATTATCAAAATCATAAGGAATGTATGAGGATGTAATGTTGTAAACAGAAATTCATCAAAAGTGACACCTCAGAAAAGCTAAAATATTGAATTTTTGGAACTTTTGATAGAGCACGTTTTTAAATATTAATTAAAGTCAATGTATATTTTGTAAAGATTCTTTTTAATAAAAAAATAAAATTTTGAAGAAGAACACAAAATCTTCTGAAAAATAATATCACATAAACTCATATTATTTTCTAATATATAACTATTTTATATAAAAATCAAATTCAATGATCTTAAAAGCGAAGGATAAACCTCAAAATTTACGAATATAATGAGTGGGAATATAATGCTTATCTATCATAAAACCATATGAAATATCAATTTTTGCTTTACGCCTAATTTTGACGACAATTAGCAAAAAATGTTAAATGTTAACACTCAGTCCATTTGAATATGAAAAATAAAATTGACTTTGATTAAATGTTTTTATTTATCATGCAATTCTTCTTGCTAATTGTCGTCAAAAATTAGGCGTAAAGCAAAAATTAATATTTCATATGGTTTTATGATAGATAAGCATTATATTCCCACTCATTATATTCGTAAATTTTGGGGTTTATCTTTCGCTTTTAAGATCATTGAATTTGATTTTTATATAAAATAGTTATATATTAGAAAATAATATGAGTTTATGTGATATTATTTTTCAGAAGATTTCATTCTATATGCCTATGAAAAGTACTCTCAAAACTAACTTTTTCCTAATTATAATTAAATCTAGAATATTGTATTATGCTTAGTATTATTTCATTTTTCTCATTCAATTTAGAATTTACAAATGTCAAAAAATTGAGAGCTGTCACTTTTGATGAATTTCTGTTTACAACAGTAATTAAGGGTGCCCTATAACGATAATGTAAACATCACAAAATTAATTTTATTAGAACTCGAATGAATGGATTATCCAGATTCTAGTTCTCAATATAATAGCCTTAAAAGTGCTTTTCTGAGGGTGGTCTATCGTCTATAGGGCACCCTTAAGAGGTATGAAAATTGATATTTCTAAAATAATTTTCATCATTTTATCAGAAATGAAGAAAACATCTTCGATATCATGATAAGTTTTCGATTTGTTTAGGATTTTTATGAATCAGAGATTAAAAAGAAGTATTTAAATCCAAAATCATAAAGAAATAAAAGATATTTTGTTTTAAATTACGAAGCGTATTTCTTGCATTACAAAGAATCTGATTGAACCGATTTAATTGATTGAACTGTAAAATAATATAAATTGAGAAAAAAAATGGTTTCTTTTTTCTACCATCACTAATAATTATATAACTGCATGACATTAAAGAGAAAATGATGATCTGTAATTAAAGGCTGGTGTTTTTTGGGGAAAAATAATTGATGAGAATTTAAAATTTTGACAGCGGTTAAAACTTCCAGCCAATCGTCTCTTCACAATTATATAAATTTTTAATTCAGGGAAAATGTAAACCATTTAAAATGCTTGCCGACAAAGAAGCCCCATCCCCAAACGAAAACCCTATCTTTTTCGACCTGCTTTCCAGGGAAGATAAGAGAGCTTATTCTACATTAAGGGCAGATCTCTGGAGTTTAGAGAATAAATTCAAGAGAAACAAAAGATTATCAAGTTTGCAAAAATCAATCGACCAAATTCGAGAATTTTGTATCAGAAATGATTCCGATGACTGGAAGAGATGTATGGTTTGTGGAATTGTATGGCTTGGTGATGATATAGCGATAAACATCAGGCAATTAAAATTGCTCGTTAACAAATGCAAGTCTTCAATCAATGGTGCATTACTAAAAATGGGATTTGAGTCATCTACAGCTAAGAACGATGGATTTAAGAAATTATTAGATTTTATGCCTTCTCTCCGTGGAAATTTCAGCGAACAGAGAATGTGGACTATTCGTAGAATGACTCCTTCGAACCCTGTTATGTTCACACCCATCCCACAGCATATTGAAGTTCCTCAATTTGGATTTGATCCGGCATTTTCACAAACACCTCAGCCATTACTCAAATTATGCCCTACACAATTATACAATAAGACTGTAGAAGTCTCCCAGCTATTTGGTACTCAGAATAATGAATTTGTTGTTAAGAATGAAGATCCTGTCAAAGTTAAGAAAGAGAAAAAGATTGTAGATGGTGTCGAAGTAGTTGAAGATTGCTGTTGCTGCTGCCCAGACCACTTAAATGAAGAAGACTTCGCTTTCGAAGAATTTAATGAGTTTGTCTATTTCTAATCAGACTCCCCTTTTGTTGTTAATCTAAATCCATAAAATATAATCATAATACTGTAAAATATGAAGAAAAAAAAAGATTTTCCATAATATTTTTGGATTTAGAAAATTTATAATAATTTACATCAATGTTGATTTTGAAAACAACATATATATTTGTAATCATGAAAAGGTTTTGAATAAAAAATATATTTTTCTTCAAATTTCTCAAGATTTAATTGTTTTGTTAAAAATATGACTAGTTAACAAACAAACATTTGTTTATTTACTCTATAATATTACAAACAAATTTAATTATTATATTCCTAAGTGGCTTTTAAGCTGTTGAAGATATTGTCCCGCTTCAACTGCCATAGCATTTGAGTATGTTTCGTTTTGGGAAAGGATTTTTAGTTTCTCAATAATTTGATTATTCAATTCTTGTGTTATCGGTTTTGAAACTTCATTTCTTTGCGAATGACAAATGTATTTGGTGAGCAAGCATGCTGCAATTAAAGTAAGATCATTGTTATCTGTATTAGTTGCAGAAAGTATCAGATTCAGTGTTGCGTTTTGATAGTAATGCGGAAATCTGATTTGCTGAAGTAATATTGATGCATTATCAAGGATTATACCGTATCTAAGCAATGCTAATTGATATTCTGCTGAAGCTTCGAAATAATTTATTTTTGAAATGTTTTCTTCAGTAATACTTGATACTATTGGATTCAATTTCTCGAAACTGATTGACATTAATTCTTGATCGTAGAAAATACCGACAAAAGCGAAAAATCTAATCTGATCTTCAGTAAAAATTGGGGAGTCTGATTCTAGAATGCTTGGCGCAAGCTGTGAAACAAACTCTTTCGAGCATGAATTATATGCTATTGCTTTTTCTACTGTTTGAACAATTTTACTCAAAAATCCTGAATGAAGGTCTTGAGATACTTCTATTAATAATGAAAGAGCACGATCTATGTTTGCATTTGTTCTTTCGCATATGGATGTCAAGCACTTTATGATTCCATCAAAATATTCTGGTTGAATATTTGGTAAAATATTGATAATCATATCTAAAACTTGGTCAACGTTTTGATTTGTTATAAACTGTGATAGTTCTTCAAGTGAATATGTTGATATTAAGTTGAAAATGTAATTTTCAACAAAACTTTGGTCAAATTGATCATAATAGGTTGATACAAGGGAAACTATGGCATTGTTTACCTGGTCAGATGATATTAATGAAATGATTCTCTGTTGTAACCTTTCAGTCAATTCAATTGAAATAATTTTTCTTATCTGGATAAAATCTTCTGCAGCATATTCTAAGACGTATGATGGACAATCTTCTAATGAGCATATATCCATGGAAAGATAAATATTTGGAACTAATTCATTTTGAACTTTTTCTCTGTGTATTTCTAACGTTGTAGTAAGCATTGATATGATATAATTAATCGATATAGACCAGCTTTGGTCGAATTGTGTAAATGATTGGAGCATTTCATTTACTTTATTATTAATTTCTAAAATATATTCTAAAGTATCTTGTGGAACAGCTTCACATATTGTAGATGCAAGGTAAGCCCCATGTGATTGCAGTTCAATATCAGCTGAATTAATCAATTGTTGAACGTATTCGTGTTGAAATTGAAGCATTTCATTGGAAAATGACTTCATGAAATAAAATCCGCTTTGAATAACGTGCGACATTACATTAAACAGCATTGTAGAAACGTCAGGAGATAATAAAACATCTAATTTTGGATATGTTTCTGTAACATCTCCAATGAAATATTGAATATGTGTTGAAACATTAGAAATAAGTTCACATGCTGATGTAAGAATCTCTTCATCAACATTTAAACTGAATAATGAGAAGATTTGTGAAATTAAATTACTCATCATTACAATCGTTTGCGGAGATGAGTTAATAATCATATCAATACAGTTAATTCCTGTAAATACTTGAAGTGGAGATTCAGAATTCATGATATTCGTTAATGTTTCCATGAAAAAATCTGAACAAGCGTTAATTAAACCAGGAGAATGACTAATTAGCAAAGAAAGAGCGTATATTCCTGTAGAAAGCTTCATTTCGTTTTCTAGTTCAATAGCTTCTTCGATATAATTGACAAATAATTCTAAAAATAAAGATTGTTCATATTTTGGATAAATCCATGCTAATATGCAATCAATAGTATGAAATATATCAATTGATAGGTATAAATTATCATTCATAATTAATTCTGATGATTTCAGTGCATAAATTATTTTATCTTTGATTTGATCAATACTTAGTTGTCCGTTAACAATTGCATACTCATATGGAATGAGAAAATATGGTAGAGAAGCTGTATCACAATTAACTTTCAAAAAGAAAGTTAAATTCATGTTAACAAGAGGAGTAAAACCATTGTTGATTGCAAAACTCAAGCTTGACCATATTTTTAGATATATGTTCCATAGTTTCAGACTTGGGTTGTATATTTCTTCTCTCAATTTTAAAACAATTTTGTTTTGTAATGCAGAATCTGCAGTTTCAAGGTCATAAGCGTTCAGAATTGAGAATATGCAATATACGTAGTATGAACGACGAAAAGAACGATTGATTGCGAAATTACCCATGAAAACTAAAATTGTTTCGATACAATTTGAGTAAATTGAAAGTAAGTTATCATATGATGTTGATGATAAGTATTCTGGTAATATCACAAGCTGAATAAATGGTGGAAATGTAAAAATATCGATTGATAAATTATTAATTAGAAATATAATGGATGGTAATGCATGAACGATGTTATCTTCGTTTAAAAAGTCTGCTTCTAGTATTTCACTTAAATATTTAATGAGTGCTTCGAATAAATTTTGGAGGCCATCAATATTCGAGCTAAATGAATCAAATTTTTGAGACAAATATGGGCGCAATTTGATAAGTATGAGTTGACGAAAGATTTCTTGCGATGGTGATTGAATTTCCTGGATTATTAAATCTAAATTATTGGGATCTTGAAAGAAGACTTCAAATTCTTGTGTAGAACCTTGCCTTGCATCATTATCTGATCCAAGTGCAGTTGAAATTATATCTTCTAATGATTTCTGATCCATTCACTACAAAAGATTTTGAAATTGAAGACGTGCATTTCAAAAATCTTCAAAATTTCATGACTAAAAAAGAAATATGAAAGTATTATATCAAAAATTTAGTTATATGCCTCATACTCTATTATATAAAAGTATTTAAAAAAGAATTCATCTAAATCAAATTGGATGAAATTTTAAAAAATGGAGATTTGTATTTAAAATTTTTTATATTTAGTCTAACGAATAAAAAAAAGTAATATTTAGTTTAAACGAATTCCTCAGGGATCAAAAGTGGGTCAGCATCTTCATCAGTCAATTCAATCTGTGTCTGTGGTGGGTTCCTGAAGTAGTACTTGATTCCTGCGTAGAGAGCAACAATAACAATAACGCTAATAACAAGTGCTAAAATATATTTGCTGAATGCTGTTGTAACAACAACTGTCTTTCCATTTCCACTTGAATCAGATGATTGTTCTGTATTTCCTGATTCATCTTCTTCTGGTGGTTCAATGTCTGGAATCTTTGGTTCATTATCTGACTTTGATTCTGATGGTGTTGCTGTTGGAGTTGCTGATGGTATCTCTGATGGTGTCTCTGTTGAATTAGTTGTTGTAGGTGTAGAAGTTGGAGTTGCTGTTGGTGTTTCTGTTGGAGCAGCTATTGAATTAGTTGTTGTAGGTGTAGAAGTTGGAGTTGCTGTTGGTGTTTCTATTGGAGATGCTGTTGAATTAGTTGTTGTAGGTGTAGAAGTTGGAGTTGCTGTTGAATTAGCTGTTGGAGTTGCTGTTGGTGTTTCTGTTGGAGCAGCTGTTGAATTAGTTGTTGTAGGTGTAGAAGTTGGAGTTGCTGTTGGCGTTTCTATTGGAGATGCTGTTGAATTAGCTGTTGGAGTTGCTGTTGGTGTTTCTATTGGAGATGCTGTTGAATTAGTTGTTGTAGGTGTAGAAGTTGGAGCAGCTGTTGAATTAGTTGTTGGAGTTGCTGTTGGTGTTTCTGTTGGAGCAGCTGTTGAATTAGTTGTTGTAGGTGTAGAAGTTGGAGTTGCTGTTGAATTAGCTGTTGGAGTTGCTGTTGGTGTTTCTATTGGAGCAGCTGTTGAATTAGCTGTTGGAGTTGCTGTTGGTGTTTCTGTTGGAGCAGCTGTTGAATTAGTTGTTGTAGGTGTAGAAGTTGGAGTTGCTGTTGGCGTTTCTATTGGAGATGCTGTTGAATTAGCTGTTGGAGTTGCTGTTGGTGTTTCTGTTGGTGCCGGTGAAGGCTTTGGTGTAGTTGCGGATGGTGTTGGAGCTGGAGTTTTAGTTGCATTTGTAGATGGTGATTGGTTTGTTGATTGTGTAGATGATGTTGAAGATGACTGATTGTGGTCTCCTGCGTCTTCCGTTGAAGTTGTATTTGTATTTTGTTGAGTGTTAGTTTCGATTTTCGTTGAATTTGTTTCAGAATTGGAATCTGTTGATGGTTCTGGAGTCTGTAATGCACTGCTACTATTTGGTTGGTTTTTATTTGTATCTTCTAAAGGTAAATGTTGAATCTTTTTTAAATTTTGAGGAATCGAATTTGAGTTTAGTTTTGACATTGTTTCCTGGTTGTTTCCATATTCGACCTCTTCTTTTACATTAAATGTCCTGAATATGCCAAGGCATAAAACTAACAAAAACATTATAAAAATGTATAAAAAGTGACACTACGTTCGAATAATCTTATATATTCCGTACTTTCACAATAATTGAGATGGTTTCTGAAGATAAACGGGAAGATTAATAAACATTGACAATTCATTACTGACACCGAAGAGAAATTGTTTCAAGTTTTCGTATAGTCCTCTGCGTTTTGAGCTATTTTTGGTTGAAAAATAAAAATGGGTCGAATTGAAATTTTGAATGATCATTGTAAATTTTTAAAAATTTTTTTGTCTTGGCATTGGAGATATTATAATTAGAAGAACCTATTGCTGATAAATCAAATGTTGGATATTATTTGAATAGTGGACGATGATTCAAAGTTCTTTTTTTAATAAATTGTAGCATACGAACTGAAATTATCGAGCATTGAACAATCTTGAGATGTTCTGCAAGTTATATTGGTTTATATTGTGCAATTGAGCTGAATTATATTAGTATACTGAGATAAATAAACAAATGTAAGATATCTAAATATAATATTTTTATTTTTTCTAATTATGTTAATAAAATGATGTTTATTTTCCAATGTCAATATTGAATATAAAGAAGGTTCTTGATATTATTCTAGATTCAAGGAAAATTTTAAAATTTTTGAAAAATATGTTTAATTTAAGGAGACTAAGTGGTGTGATATCAGCTATTCCAAATGTTGGTATTGTAGAATACACTTGACTTATGTTCGATTTGAAAATAAATTTGAAAGTTCAAAAATTATGCAGAAATGAATAATATATTATGTTTATAGGCTAACGAGTGTAATAAACAGAAATTCATCAAAAGTGACAGCTCTCAATTTTTTGACATTTGTAAATTCTAAATTGAATGAGAAAAATGAAATAATACTAAGCATAATACAATATTCTAGATTTAATTATAATTAGGAAAAAGTTAGTTTTGAGAGTACTTTTCATAGGCATATAGAATGAAATCTTCTGAAAAATAATATCACATAAACTCATATTATTTTCTAATATATAACTATTTTATATAAAAATCAAATTCAATGATCTTAAAAGCGAAGGATAAACCTCAAAATTTACGAATATAATGAGTGGGAATATAATGCTTATCTATCATATAACCATATGAAATATCAATTTTTGCTTTACGCCTAATTTTTGACGACAATTAGCAAAAAATGTTAAATGTTAACACTCAGTCCATTTGAATATGAAAAATAAAATTGACTTTGATTAAATGTTTTTATTTATCATGCAATTCTTCTTGCGACCAAAGATTTGAATAAAAGTTCAAAAAATAAGAGAGAAAGGGACAGACTAGCCCATTGTCACTTTTTAATTTAGCAAATGAACGCTTATGGAGTGGAGTTTTTGGGTAAATCTGATTTGCTTATAAATGAAATAAAATCAAAAGAAACCATATTGGCATTATATTATGCAAAAATAAATGATCTTACTTAGTACTTTTAAAGTTAATTTCAGAAAAAATTTGACACAATGGTATCCGGCACATACAAGTGGTGTACAACCAAAATATAAGTTGGTTTAAACATATATTGCTATATCTCATGATCTTACTTAGTACTTTTAAAGTTAATTTCAGAAAAAATTTGACACAATGGTATCCGGCACATACAAGTGGTGTACAACCAAAATATAAGTTGGTTTAAACATATATTGCTATATCTCATGATCTTACTTAGTACTTTTAAAGTTAATTTCAGAAAAAATTTGACACAATGGTATCCGGCACATACAAGTGGTGTACAACCAAATCTTCGACTCGATGAACTTGTCATCGAGTTATATTCCAGTGTTGTTCCTTCATTCCTGATTAAGTTGCAAATTAAAGGTCTGGATTCAGAGAGAAGTGTTAAAGTTATCAAAAAAGTCACAAGAGATTTCGAAGAAATGACACAATTTAAAAAAGTCGAATGCATCAGTATGCTTGAAGCTGTTCAGAAAGGTCCGAAAAATGATACACTTGATCCCAACATTGTTTACTCAACATTAAAAATATTATTGCAAAGAAAACATTTGATTTAATAAACATTTAATTTATTATAATTAATTTTTTATTACAGTATAGTAAAAAATGCTATAAATAAATTATTATATTTTATTAAAATGTGACTTTTAATAGTAAGTGAATAAAATAAATCAGGAATTGGGAAAGAAATAAGGTTAATTAAAAATAATGAAAATTACAAGTTTAAGGTTAATGAAAAAGTGACAATGGGCGAGTTTGTCCCCCACTCAAAATAAAATTGACTTTGATTAAATGTTTTTATTTATCATGCAATTCTTCTTGCGACCAAAGATTTGAATAAAAGTTCAAAAAATAAGATAGCTTAAAAAATAATATACGGTAGTGTTTACTAATAGATGAATAGTATATAAATTCTATTAAAATGGATTTGATCCAAAAAAATATAAAACCAAAAATAATTGTTATAATTTAAATGAAGAAGTAATTTAAAACGATTTTATTTATGATCAAATTTTATATATTATTTTGGATCAAATCCATTTTAATAGAATTTATATACTATTCATCTATTAGTAAACACTACCGTATATTATTTTTTAAGCTATCTTATTTTTTGAACTTTTATTCAAATCTTTGGTCGCAAGAAGAATTGCATGATAAATAAAAACATTTAATCAAAGTCAATTTTATTTTTCATATTCAAATGGACTGAGTGTTAACATTTAACATTTTTTGCTAATTGTCGTCAAAAATTAGGCGTAAAGCAAAAATTGATATTTCATATGGTTATATGATAGATAAGCATTATATTCCCACTCATTATATTCGTAAATTTTGAGGTTTATCCTTCGCTTTTAAGATCATTGAATTTGATTTTTATATAAATAGTTATATATTAGAAAATAATATGAGTTTATGTGATATTATTTTTCAGAAGATTTTGTGTTCTTCTTCAAAATTTTATTTTTTATTAAAAAGAATCTTTATAAAATATACATTTACTTTAATTAATATTTAAAAACGTGCTCTATCAAAAGTTCCAAAAATTCAATATTTTAGCTTTTCTGAGGTGTCACTTTTGATGAATTTCTGTTTACAACACGAGTAAAATCTACTAAGTTTACATCGAAAACGAAAAGACATCCCATCATATCATTGCGTGAGGGGAATACTGAAGAAAATTTGACATTTTTTGGAAAATTAAAAAAGAAATATTGTTTGTGAATCACTGATTGAAATTTATTATAAAAATGAAATTGATTGAAATGATCGAATTCCGCTTTTAGAACAATTGAATTTTGAAAGCGTTCACAAAAAAATTGCCACAAATTTAAATTCCGATAACATTTCGATAATTGAATTCAAATTTCAGTTTGATTTTACATTGAAATTTTATGATTTTAAATATAGGTTGCAAATTTGTTTTTAACTGATTGTGAAAAAAAGGGGATAGCAAATTTTTTTTGGTAATAAATTTTTGATATATGATTCGTCGTTCCATTAGTGAAAACATATATCAGTGAAAATCGGATTCTTCGATAAGAAATAGCGGATTTTTTACATTTTGTAATGTTTATATTCAAAATCATATATATAAATGAGATATGCTAAAATAAAGTAAAAAATTTTAGTTGCTCAATTTATTAATTCGGAAGATGTGCCAAAATTGAAAATGAATAAAATTACTAGAAGGTTCATTTAATCAAAGGCGTTTACGAGTAAGCATTTAATCTCAATTTGATTATCGGATAATTTGACATGATCGAAAATCAATTTTGAGATCAAAAACATCTTTTAAGTTAATACTAGTTTCTAAATATTGATTTTAGATCGTTTTGAAAATTTTTCTTTCTTTTGATCATGAGTCAAAAATCGATTTTAATAAGATATTTAAAATCAATTTATAATATACATCCGATTTTGTGGGATAAAAATCTCTAAAATTTTTACAAATCAAAAAAATGAAATGAAATCGATCAGTTAACGACTACTTCTAATTATGATCACCATCCAAATTCCAATAAATTTCCCAGCTAAATTTTTTGAATTATTACTCAAAAATTTCAAACCGTTTTATTAGAGAAATGGATGATGAAGAAATCACCTGCATCCCTATAGGAAACTATATCCTTCGACAACGTATTGGAGAAGGTGCGTTCTCGTCTGTATGGACTGCAGACTCGAAAAAAACTAACTCGACTGTAGCTGTTAAAGTGATCTCAAAAAAGACACTTGAAGCGCCAGACATGTTTACTAGATTCAAAAGAGAAATCTCACTCCTTCAGCAAAACAACCATCCGTTTATTATGCATTTTTTCGAAATGTTAGAAGATGAAAAAAATTATTACGTTATAATGGAATATGCAGATAATGGTGACTTTGAAACATTTCTAGAATCCAAGATGACACTTCCTGAAAACATGAGCAGGTTCTTCCTCGCAGAGATGGTGCTTGCACTTGATTACCTTCATAATGAGCGTAGAATTGCTCACAGAGACCTTAAACCTCAAAACATCCTATTAGACAGATACAATAACATCCGAATCAGCGACTTTGGTCTTAGTAACACTTTTTCCGACTCGAACCCAACAATGACGTCGAATTGTGGTTCGCCTGCTTTCGTTGCACCAGAAGTTGTGAACGGACAGCCTTATAACAAATCCGCTGACATTTGGAGCCTCGGTGTAATATTTTATAGAATGGTTGTTGGTAATTTACCGTTTCAAGGTCCCGATGTCAAAACCATCTTAATGAAGATTGTTTCTGCCGAGCCATACTACCCTCCTTCACTTTCACCAGATCTTAGAGATCTTTTACAGAAAATGCTTTGCAGAAACCCAGAGAAAAGAATTACAGCTAAGGAGATCAAAGCGCATCCATGGATAATACCAGAATTCGTCCAGGAATTATCCAATTCGATAGATTCACTTAGAGAAGCAACTTCAGACGCTTCTTCTCCAGTGGCTGAACGAGATGCTGTAATGCTGCAGAAAGCAAGAGAACAGCTCGTTTACGATCTTTGGGAACAAGTCCAAACTGCAAGAACTTTATTACCAACGGTAGTAGTTCACCAACCACCACATTCCCTTCCGTCGCCATCATTCCCTGTTAACATGACGAATAAGGCCTCCAGAATCCCTTCAAGTATGGATTTGAAATTGAAAGAGCCTCTTGCAAAGCCAATGAGCAGACAAATGAATAAGTCATCTGCTAATTTGTTCCCGAAGAAGAGAGTGCCAACGAAAGTGCCCTCTCTTCTCGTCTAATTCTTTGAGTGTTAGATATTAATGTTTGTATTTTTCGATTATTATTAAATTTTATATTATGCTTTCTATACATGTTTTCTCAAATTGTTCCCTCCTCTTTTATGCATAAAAATTTAATTTCATTGCAATAAAATGATTTTAAACTGGATTTGTATTGATAAATTATTTTATTGAGATGAAAATAGTTTGAATGAGAAGGTTAAAAAAGATATTTCATGATTCCGGTGATTATTGTCACATTTCCAAAATAATCGTCAATATTATTTTTGAGATGAGTAAAAAGAAAGCAACCAAAAAACCACCGACATTCGAATTTCCAGATTTCTATGACTATCCACCATTCTGGACTCTTCAAACAAATAGCCAGACTAAAAAGCAGCAGTTAGACCTTTGGGCGAGTTTTATTTGCGCATACACAAAGTTTTACAAAAAGACAGAAATTGATATGATTCAAGCCTTAGATGCACCATTATTCAATAACCAAAAATTGGGAAGAAGAGTTTCCCAACAGATGATGACAGAAATCATAGACTACATGGTTCAATCAGAGAATGCTAAATGGTTAGAAAGTACAAAAACACGTGCTAGAATCATTTGGAGAACTACTCAACAAATTGGAGACATGGTTCGCCAGTACTTAGACAATATTGGTTCTCTTAATACAATGATGACCTACGAAGAACTTATCAATGGCGATGAGACCGAAGGCGAGGGATTCCATGGATTAAGTGCAGACGAATTCCATGATGCAATGACTTTCATGGAGAGCAAGGGAAGGTGCAAGATTATTCCTGGTTCCAGTTTGGTAGAATATGGTGTTAAATTCTTTTAGGTTGTTCATAATTTAAAATACTAAAAATTACGAAAAAACGGAAAAATACATTTTTATTAAATTAATAGATCATCAACTACGACAATTTACATTCACAACTTCTTGAAATATAAAAATTCTACTGCAATTTTTTGTAGAAATGCTATAAAATCTAAAAATTAGATATATTTTTCTAATTTTCTTTAAAATTATATTTAGATTGTAGATGTGTTGAAACATAATTGAGTTCTAATCTCTATAACACGCATTTTATTATATCTAAACAAAAAAAAAATAAACAATTATTCTTCTAAAAACAAACATTGTAAAACTGTATGGATAATATCATTGTCATCATCATTATCGGTATCTATTGAATCAAGAGTCTCATGTACTCCTGCTTCTTCAAGGATATTTCTAAATTCTTCTAAAAAAACAGGATTTGATGTTGAAATATATGAATGAATATACTTCAAACCAGCAATAAGACATATTCCATTAGGAATCGACTCATAAACCTCTATAAGCTTATTTAAAGCCATTGCGAGTCCTTCATTTTCTTTTATTTGAAATCTCCAGAGATCAGGATTTCCGAATATTCCTGGGAAGTGCATCATAATTCCTGCCATTAGCTTTCCTACTTTGGTCGTCAATTTAAAGTTTCCGCTAAAAATTATTTGAATTAAATCTTCAAAAAATTCAAATGTGTCAAAGCATAAAACTTGATTTCCACATGCTTCGCTATCTACTTCGAGAAACTTTTCAAATAATTCCAAAGCAATAATTTTCAATTCATTATTTTCAGGAGAATTGGAGTTTTTTAGGTAATTACGAGCTACTGATGTCAGATTCTCATCGAATAGTCCGAAATTACCTGAAATATAAATGATTTTCAAACAATATTTATAATATTGTTCTCCGAAGTTTAAAACATTAAGAAAAGCAACTTCGGCGTCTTCGTCTTCGAAACTAGTAAGTCTATGTTCAAAAAGTGAATAAAGTAAAAAAGATCTTTCTTCTGGGAATTCTACTGATTCATTTGCAACTAAAGATAGTACAAACTGAATTCCATCACTTGTAATTTCATGTGCAAGAGGTGAATATGTATGATTAATGTCTGGATTCTCTGTATCGTCATCGACCAATATTAAACATGCGATTTTGATCATTAGATCAGCAAATTTAATAATGATCTTTGACAGAGGTAAAATGTCTGGTTGTAAAAAGATCTTATCTAATATGAATGGAAAATCTGGATTCATTGCTTCAATTGTTTCATCATTTATCAATGAGCAAATCAAGAGTATATGATTTTGTGCGAATTGCATATTGTCTGGTGTGAAGTTTTCGATTGAAATGAAAGAATTTGTAGAAAATTCAAGCATTTCCTTAGACACAACTTCTGGATATTTCAAACAGTATTGTGCCAATGTAATCATTGCATGAGAGAGTTGGTTCATGTCTGAACAGTAATTTTGCATACCGTCGAAAATTAATTGCGCAAAATTAAGTTCTTTAAGCGCATAATCAGTAATACCATAATGAATTTGGCAAAGATTATATATAAAATCAAGATTATCATCTAAATCATCAAAAAACGTATCATATCTAAGTTGAATCTGTTGAATAATAGCATTCTGTTGTTCTTCTGGGTTTAGTTCTCCTTTTAAATGAAATATATCTTCTATTTTAGATGGTTGTAAAGAATTATGTTCTTTATAATCATCATCCATGAAAAAAAGTGACCTTAGATTTTATAAATCTTGTCCATAAACAAGACAAAGTAAAGCATTTCTTGCACAAAGAACTGAACAGAATTCATTCATAATGAAATGTTGCTTCGCTTTTATTGATGTGAAGCACCTCGTCGTAGGACAAAAACAATTATCAATGATCAAACAGAGTTCAGCTAATAGAACAGTACCAAAATATTATCAAGGATATTTTAGAATTAATTTGTTCTAATGTTGATGGATATTCTCCACTTTGACAAAGAATTCAACATATCTTCATATTCAGGGTTTATTTCTTAGATCATAGTACCTACTGACTGTTTTAATAAACCACTTAATACTTATAATCTTTAAATTAAAGAAATTATTTTTATTTCGTGCCATTTAAAGTACTATTAACTTTTCTATGTATGAAATATGAGATACCTACTGTTATAAAAAGGAGATAACATAATCTTTTTATGTAGATCATTATTTTATTACAAAATATCTACCAAATATTATAATTCAGCTCTTAAAATGTAAATATAGTATTTCTGGCCCAATTCAAATATAATGGCTATTAAGACATTACTAAATTCGAATCTTAATTTTTCCAAAAAAATTTCAAAAATTCAAAAATGAATTGAAGTTTATTGAATTTCATGTTAAATTCTTGAAATTCGAAAAAATTTGGAAAATAAAACTTTTATATTTTAGCTTATATTATCAATTTGAATGGAAATCTTAGCAAAAACCTTCAGATATAAAGATATTTTTATTTAAACTAAAAAAACATTCATTTTTCTTTAGTCAGGGTAGTAACTTCAGGCAAACGTGCATTTCAAATGAGAATAATTACTTCAAATATTTGTATCAATTTCTTATTGAAGAACAAAAGAAGAAGTAAAAGCAACTTAATTAGGACTGTAATAATTTGAAATCAAAATACTATAAAAATTCTAATACAATCGCTTGTAAATCTAAAATGAACCTCAAATTATTTAGGAGAATTTCAAAATATACACATGTATATAAATAAATTGCCAACACATCAATGATTAAAGAAAGATTTTAAGTTAATTGGCTGGTGAACTCCAAAAAATTTGGGAATATTTAGAGTTTTAAGATTAGGTTATCAATAGTAATGATTTGTTCTAAGTAATTGAATTTTAAAGAGTTTTTGTAAGTTTAAGACTTAGAATTGATCCCAGGCCTTCTTGGATTTGGATAATTGAAGAATTTTGATAATATCTGCGCCTTTTATTAATAGAGGAATCGACAAATGCATCAAATACTAGCAGGTTGTGTTTTCGGATGCGTAGTACACTTGGTTTATGTTCAATGCGAATAAAACAACGAAAAATTTTGGGATTGAATAGTTGTAAAGTGAAATGGGTTGACCTTTTTTTTGGATGCCTATCGAGGTTACTGATCCAGCAGCTTTCCGTGATATGGTCCGTATGCTCTCAACTAACGTTGATGGTCGCCGTCCACTCTACCTTGCTCTCACAAACATCTCTGGTATTGGCCGCAGATTTGCATACGCTGTTGTTCGCCGCGCAGGCCTTGACCCACTCCGCCGTGCTGGTACACTCACACCAAAGGAGGAAGAACTCATCGTTTCAATCATCCAGAACCCAACTGAACACCAAATCCCAGTTTGGATGCTCAACCGTCGTTTCGACCGCGCTACAGGTCAAAACACTCACTGGGTTGCTACAGATCTCGGTGCTAACATTCGTGCTGAAATCGAAAGAATGAAGAAGATGCGTATGAAACGTGGTATCCGCCATGGTCTTGGTCTTAAGGTCCGTGGCCAGTGCACAAAGTCTACAGGCCGCCGCGGTGGTGCCCTCGGTGTCGAGCGCAAGAAAGATTAAAGCTTTTTTATTACCTTCTTCAAATCTACAATTATTATCCATATTATTGGGTAATACGAAATACTCTCATTATTCACACTACCATAATTTACATTCTCTAATATTCAGACAAATGGTTTTTAAATTATTTTGAAATTCTCCGTTTTCCCTTGCAATCCTTTGCAATGAAAACTAACTGTGTGCTCATGGAGAATACTTTTGTACTATTTTATATAAATTCGAAAATTTATCTGTTAATTAGCAAAAAATCGACCATTATTCTATTGTGGAAAGAATTATGTTTTGCCAAGATATCATTCAATTAACTTGAATCAATGTGATTTATGTTGGATAATGATATTCTTAACTCAAATACATGGTAGATACGAAATTTTTAGCTAAGCAAGCCCTATAAGATGAGGTGTTACATTTTCTTCTATCTATCAACAAGGTTAATTTCATTCATTTCGTTTTTTTTTTGATTTGTTTTTCAATGGCTCTCAAAACTTAGAAAAAGCTTATTGTCCTGATATCTAATCGAACAAACGACAATTTTATCAATACAGACAGACTCGTAATAATTGGCAAATTTGACACTTTTGAATAAATATGCTGTATGAAGCTATTAATTTAGCTTCTACAGAATATTTAGCAAAGCCAAATGATTCTACTCAAGCAAGTTTCTTTGATGCAATAGATAAAATACCAGAAATCTTTTCAAAATCAACAGAATCGTTTGGAACAAAGCTAACGAAACTTAAAAATTCGCAATTCTTTTCTGCAATATATCAAATGCTGAAAAGTAAAATTAGTGATAATCAGCAATTGCAATTACTCAAATTAATGGATTTTTTAATTACAACGGCTTCGAAAAAAGAAGATATAGAATTCATATTTAGCAATGATCTGATAAATACAATAATATCCTGCAAGTTCAACTGGTCTTTGCAAGATAATTTATTAGCTTACACTTCATTTCTCAAAAACATTGCAACTAAACTTCCAACAATGAACGTTAATTACATATTTACACAATATCCATACTCATTACCATTATATTTGTATTCCACAATTTTTTTGACAAATCCTGATTCAATTGTCGTTTCTGCTGCAAGATTCGTGATCCTACAACTTTGTAATCTTAAAAATCCAGAGATTAATGACTATATCGACTATCATATCCCTACACAACAACTAGAAAAATTAGTATCAATCGATGAAATAGAATCTATCGATTATATTATAGATTTACTACGTGTAGCACCACTGAGATTTACTAAATCCATAGAGAAATACGTTAAAAACAAATTAAATTCTTCTGGACCGGAATACATGGTAATTTGTTTCCAAAACTTCATGGATTCGCCTCTAAAGTCAATGATCATACAAACATTGAACGAAAAACTGTTGCAATATGATTATTCTCAAATTTTAAATCTCGGAATTTTATTATATTCAGTGGAAAACAAATATATGACTCTAGATACCGCAATACAGCTAGGATTTATTGCTATTGAGAAGTTCGAATTCGTTCAATTGTTTGCTCCGATAACTTTGTTAAATCCTAAGCCTCTGGTTTCCGAAATTCTTATTAAACTATCCACAACGAGATTTAACGCTCTTGTACTTACCATTTGCCTTAAAATTTGGGAAAAAATTTACAAAAATCAGCCTTTCTTTTTGTATGACATTTTACAGGCCATCGTTAAAGAGATGAAGAAGAACTTATCAATGAAACTCGTGAGAGCATTCATTGAACGTGAAGAAGTCAATATTAGAACAGATTTGAATTTTATCAAAGAAAATGTTAATTATCCGGATTACAATTGGAACAGCGGTAACCTTGCTCCACTTATAGATGTCCTTTTAGCCCTACAGCTTTCTATTTCTCGTTGGACGAAGATTCCGATTTCATTTCAGTTCCCAGAAATAAATTTCGAGATTCCTGAGATAAGTTTCTCAACAAGCACAAATAACTCAATCACCATATCATCAAGTTTTCTTTCTATTGACAACACAAAAATAGAATTAATGAGATTTGATGTAAAACAAGGTAAAACAAAGAGGAATTTGGAGTTAGTCATTTTTGATAGGAAGAAATTCGGAAGTTTGGAGAAGAAATCCAGGGAAATCGAGTTTGAAACAACAACTATCGCAGAACAGTTTGTTGAAGAAGTAGAAAAGCGTCAATTGAATAATATACGAGTTCTTTTAGCTGGATATGGATGCTGAAATAATCGGATTTTATATTTTGTTAATAAATTATGTTTATTTATTTAATTTATTGATTTTTTACCTTCACAGCACTTCAATTCTTCTTGTGAATGCATTCAATGTTTGTAGGCATGCTAGTAATGGTGAGTATTTGCTGCTATAAATAAATTAATTTAAAATGTTTCTTATTTAAATATTAGTATTAAGGCATACAATTATGCTTTGCGTGTATGCATGCATGTATATTGATACTAGCCAATTTCCGATCAAGATAAAAATTTGAATCTCGTCTTGGCGTTCAATATGTCCGTGTTGAGTTTCTAAACACAGACATTACATATAGACAAAATATTTAATAATGGACATTAAACCCTTCTAAATTTATGTCTTCATTTATTATCTTGGACATTTATAAATAAATTTGCCTAATTCTTGCGACCCATAGAATAACATTTAAAATCAAGCAAGTTAAAATTCCATATGAGCCTTTCCTATTTGATTTCAATTCGTTTCCATAAATTTTATAAAAATTTTAATGGAAAATTAACAAAATGCTTGCATAGGAGATGATTGGAAATTTTGAATTATAAATATTATCGTCAACGATCATTGTTTATATCGAGAAAAATTTTTATATAAATTTAAGAACAAATTGAATGCTGATTCATTTTTCTTCCGATCGAAAAAAAAATTTTACATCGCTTCACAATTTGTTCGGATCTGAAAATATAATATACTAATAATATCATTACAATGAGATTGATAAACAAACTTTGCGTAAAGATGATGCAGATTGGCGAAAGATCATCATCATAACGCAAACTTTCGTCATTTTTTCAAATCTTGAAGATTTTAAATAAATTTAAATATTCATCATCCATATAATCATTTCCATCTGATGACAAAAAATAACGAGAGGTTTATGTCCATTGAAATTTTTGAATCAATCATAATTTCTGATTAATGGGAGGAGAAGGCTCAGTTCCAGTCTGTAGAGTTGCTAGTATTCATGAATTTATGGAAGGATGCGAGAGCCCTATCCTCAGAAGCACAGCAGTCAATCCAAAATGCAGGGGCTCAATTTCTGGACGTTTTCCTATTCAACAGAATTCACGTACTCCAGCTGAAGTTTTGGCAACAAGTGCCAGACTTCATGGAAAGAGACCATATCTTGGTGAACGAATAATCGATATCAACGGTAATTATGGAAGTTACAAATTTATCAGTTTCTCTGATGCTCTTAGTCAGACGCAAACCTTCGCTAAAGGACTAAGTACAATAGGTGTTACAAAAGGTTCCTACGTCGGTCTGTTTTCAGATAACTGTGCCCTTTGGCAAATCTCATTTTTTGCTATTAACATGCTCCAAGCCATTTCGATCCTAGTTTCGGATTCCCTTGCTTTAGAAAGAACGTTTTCTATCTTTAATGAAACGAAATGTTCGATCATGATCGTAAGCAAAGATAAGTTTGAGACTCTCATGAAATATCTTCCAAATATGCCTCATGTCAAGAAAGTTATTATTCTTAATAGCGAGATTCCTCTTGAAAATCCTCATCCTGAGGTTAATTTCTATTCATATAACTCGCTCTCCAAGTCCGCTGCGACCGTTGAGTACAAATTTGGTCAGCAGAATCCAGATGACGACGCAGTGATCATTTTTACAACAGGAACGACCGATAAACCAAAAGGTTGTATTTTATCCAACTCGAATTTGATTGCAGGAGCTTCAGGATTCTCAGATCTTGCATATTCCATTGGATATGGCGATTATTACATCTCTTATATGCCTCTAACCCACATTTATTCCCTTAATGTTGAACTTTGCATGCTTGCACAAGGAGCAGCCATCGGTTACTATACAGGATCGACCAAGAACCTGTTAGAAGACATCAAAGTTCTCAGACCAACCATTATTTGTGGTTATCCCCGCTTATGGAACAAGATATGCAATTCTATTAAGGAATACATTGATAACTGCAGCTTTTTGGAGAAGTATTTATACAAACTTACCATTTCTCATAAGCATCGTGCATTTAATAACAATCCAAACCCTTCTATTTTATTAGATAATCTTATTCTTCCGAAAGTCAACAGTTTCCTCGGATCTCGCGTCAGATTGATTGTTAGTGGCGGTGCACCGCTTAAACCAGATGTTTACGACTACTTAAGAGCAGTTATTACTCCAAATATTGTTCAAGGCTACGGAATGACCGAATCGAGTGGCTGCATCTCAGTACAAGACCCAAGGATGGCAAGCAACATCGGATCAGGCATCATTTCCCCATGTTGCGAAGTGAAATTAAGATCTGTCCCAGGAATGATGTATAATCCACAGGGAAAGCCACGAACAGGCGAGATACTTGTCAGAGGACCAAATGTCTTCAAAGGATACTTCAACGACGAGAAAAGCACGAAAGAAGTTTTATTAGAAGGCGGATGGCTTTGTACGAGTGATATCGGATTGATTACTGAGTCTGGAGAGATACAAATCATCGACAGAATCTCCAATTTCATCAAACTCAGTTCCGGTAGATATATCTCAATTCAAACAATGACTTCTATCATGGAATCCGTGGAAGGAGTCAAAGGAGCATATGTATACGCTGATTCCCATAGCGATAAGCCGATCGCTGTCATTTCTCCATCGAAATTGTACGCAACTCTTTGGAAAGGAAAAGGAATCAAAGATTTATCGAGATGTGAAGAAGCATGTGATGAAATGAAGAATAGAATCAATAAAAGAATGGAACAACTTCATTGTTCGAAATGTAACTTACTTTCGAAAGTTATCATCATTGAAGACGAAATTTCCCACAAATTCGATCCAAATAATCCTTGCCAGCTTCAATACAATGATATAAGAAAGCTTTATCAAGATAGAATTCTTGAATGCTTGTAATTTCATATATTTTTTATTTGTTTTTTATTAGTAAATGTTTTATGTGCGTATTTTAAATATTTTTCATAACACAAACATCAAATCAGCAAAATTAGATTTTCAATCTAAAATCCTTTTCCTTCGCAAAGTCTCTTATTCAAAATTTTGATAGAGATTCACTTAAGATTGAGCAGAAAAACGATGGGGAGACTTTACGAAGGTAAATGAGTTTAATCTTTTTTTTCAAAATTAAAGAAGAAGACTTCTAATGCCCAAAATTATTGGATATAAGTTATAAAGAATTAAAATAAAAGTGTTTATTTATCCATTTTCATTAAAAAGTCGAAGAAAGATGGCATCATCATTTGAGGAATATGGATGATATCTGGGTCGTAGTTCTTGAGAGCTTCTTCAAATTCAAATCGATGGAGCCTGTGAGCTAACTCGATTGGTGTTTCTCCTTCATTAATTGGAATCTTGATTTTCTTTGGATTCGAAAAGCGCTGGTTAACATTTAGTTTGCCCATTAATAAAATTTCAAAAATGTCTTTGTCTCCTTTGAGAATTGCTGCAAAAAGAGCTGTCATTCCAGATTGACATCTGAAATTAACATCAACATTATTGTCTATAAGCAATGCAACAATTGATGTTCTACCTTCTCTAATTGCGGCAATCAAAGGAGTTTCCATGTGAATTTCCCATGCTTTGCTGGTCTCACTTATAAGCTGTTTTGTGACATGATCCTTTAATATCAGACTACCTGAAAATAGAACGTCTGTTCTGGAACCATTTTCAACAAGCAACCTTGCCATTTTTAGGTTATTGTTTTGGATTGAGACGAAAATTGGAGGCACTATATCTTCTTCATCATTGATCTTTGCACCAAGTTTTAATAACAACTCCAGAGTTTGAGTTGCGTTGTTTTGACATGCAATATTAATAATTCTCTGACGGTTTTTCAATCTATGATTGATATTTGCACCATTTTTAACTAAGAATTCAATGTTCTGCAAGAAATTTCTGTTCACTGCCGTAACTAGGGAGTTGTTCCAACTTCATCTTCTTCATTGACATCAGCTCCCAAGTTAATTAGTTCTTTGAGAACATCTGTGCTCGGTGCACATTCAGCAGCACACATCAATGCGGTCATATTAATATTGTTTCGCCATGTTTTGACATCCAATAATTTTGAAAAGATAAATCTCAAAGCAGGGATATTACTGTTTTCCATTGCATGATATGGCAAAACATCTTTTGCTCCATGTTTCATTAATAGTTCAGCAATTTGGAAATTATTTCCCCATAATGCGACTGTTAATGGAGACTCCAATGTTTCTTTTTTATCAAAGTAATTTAATTTCTTCCCATTCTGAATCAAACATTTTATTGATTCAATATCATTCTTAATAATGGCAATTTCTAGTGCAGTGTAGTTATTATCATCTCTTAATTCAATATCAACTCCACGATTTATCATTAATTGAAGGTATTTGACGTGCTTAATCCTTTTTAAAGAGATTATCTTCATGAGAATTGTCAAATTTCTAGAAAATCTTTGGTGAATGTCATATCCTTTCTGTATAAGATATTGAACCATTTTTTCGTCATCATTGAATAAAGCCTGCAAAAATGGATAAACAAATCTATCACTTTCATCAGTTGTAAACCACTGAAAATCAAATGATTTAATATTGTTTAAAATATCCCTTGATCCAATTATATCAAAAGACTTATTAAGGTTTGCTCCAAGTTCCAACAAAATATCAATCGCTTTGTATTTCTTTGAGATAATAGCTATTGAAAGAGCTACTTGCTTCATCAATGATTTGATTCTTATACTACTTGGGTCATTAATCAAATATTCAAACACGTCTTTGCTTTCGCAAAACTGGACAATTTTTGTTAAAATTGATAATGGGTTCTTCAATGAATCAAATTTGGAATTCTTCATTAAACTTCCTAAAAAAGAAGTATTATCGCTCTTAATTATACTTTCGATCAAAAAATATAAAACCAAAAATAATTGTTATAATTTAAATGAAGAAGTAATTTAAGACGATTTTATTTATGATCAAATTTTATATATTTTTTTGGATCAAATCCATTTTAATAGAATTTATATACTATTCATCTATTAGTAAACACTACCGTATATTATTTTTTAAGCTATCTTATTTTTTGAAATTTTATTCAAATCTTTGGTCGCAAGAAGAATTGCATGATAAATAAAAACATTTAATCAAAGTCAATTTTATTTTTCATATTCAAATGGACTGAGTGTTAACATTTAACATTTTTTGCTAATTGTCGTCAAAAATTAGGCGTAAAGCAAAAATTGATATTTCATATGGTTTTATGATAGATAAGCATTATATTCCCACTCATTATATTCGTAAATTTTGAGGTTTATCCTTCGCTTTTAAGATCATTGAATTTGATTTTTATATAAAATAGTTATATATTAGAAAATAATATGAGTTTATGTGATATTATTTTTCAGAAGATTTCATTCTATATGCCTATGAAAAGTACTCTCAAAACTAACTTTTTCCTAATTATAATTAAATCTAGAATATTGTATTATGCTTAGTATTATTTCATTTTTCTCATTCAATTTAGAATTTACAAATGTCAAAAAATTGAGAGCCGTCACTTTTGATGAATTTCTGTTTATTACAATGGAACATTTGTGAGAACAATGGCTAACAGTGTGCGCCTTTGAATCTGTGCTAGAGCTGTTTCAAGCCAAGCTGAATCAACTAAGGTGTACAAATTCATTTTAAACAAATTTGAAATGAAATAATTTGTGAGAATTTGAGAATCATTTAATTATTTCAGAAGTCTATATTGAAAAAATATTCTTAACAAAATTAATTTAAATGGTTCAGAAAATTAAAAATTAAAATTAATGTAAAAAACATGATTAGGAATAATTAACAATAATAAATATTATGGTTTTGGATTATTTAAACAGCTATAAAAGAACGAATTTTACAAATTACGATAAAAAATTATTGAAAAATAATGAAGAGGATAAGGATTTGAATCGAAAATTAAAAGGATGATTATGTGTCAAATTAAATTAAAATAAAAATTTTAGAAGATTTAGAAAAGAAGTACTGCAAAGAATTAGAATTAACATAAAAATCGAAAATTTAATAAAGGAGAGATAAAATTATTGTAGTATTCAATTGAAAAATTTTATAAAATAAGGAATATTGGTAAACAAATAAGTTTAATCTAAAAAAAGGAAAATAAAAATATAAAAATTGAAATAAAAACAGAAATATAAAATATTTTTAAAATGCAAAAAAGTTTCATACTAATCGTTTTTTTATAATATTTATCATTGAAAGATTATTGAAAGATATTTTGAAAGAAATCGAAAGAGTTAAGAAATATTGAGACGAAGGACAATTGAATGAATTTTTGGCCGATTGTGCTATGCAAAGTTGATGATAATTGCAGGAAATTTTGAGATTTTCGAGGTTTTGGAGGGTGTGAGTACTATTATATGTAATAGTATCTCACACCCTCCAATTCATCCTATGGCGTCGAGAAAATTTTGGTGAAATGTCGTCGCATTTCACCAAAATTTTCGGCGCCATATAGAGAACTAGAGTCTGCGAGGTACTGATTCTATCTATGTACCTCGCAGACCCTAGTTCTCAGCCAAAATGGCTAAAAATTGCTCGCAATTGTTTGCCATGTAAAGTGTCACTTTTTGAGGAGATTTGACATTCTGTCAAATCTCCTTTTTTGTATATAAAAAACGTATGGATTAAAATTTAAGAGGAATTCAATTTTAATTACGGGTTGTTCAAATATTGATTAATATAAATTTCTTAATAAGAATAAACAATTTTTGTTTTTGAATTTATTCAATTTATAGCTTTACATATAGTTTCAAAATTGTACAGCTATGATTATTTCAACAAAAAAATATCTTACTTTTTCACTTCACTTTCACACTCACTTTTCCGTAATTCAAATTTCAACATTATGTATTTTAATTCCTTATAGTATTTTTAACATAATTAATCAAATAATAATTGGAAGTTCTGAACTCACTTTTTCCGTATTTCAAAATCAAAAATATGAATAATATATCTATTTATTATATACTAATGCTATTTTCAACTAGAAGTGAGGTACGGTAATCTTACAGATTCCCGTAACTCAATTTTACGGGAAAAGTGCAGTAAACTACTCAATTTACGGAAAAAGTGTCGTAAACTATTGATGTGGCGGTAAAATCACGGTAATTCACGGAAAGCTATATGCGAATATTTGAAATTATACAAAATCGAGCGAAACACTTTTAAATAGGTTGTTCTCGTATTTCAAATACTATTCCCAGATTTATTGTCGTCAGAATATTTCCAAATTTTTGCCGATTTACAAAAAATGATTTACAAAGCATATTTTTTAATCTAAAAAATTCCTAAAAAAAGGAACCGGTGTGCGGAAACCTCGGTAAATTACCGCGGTTCCCGTTGGGACTGCCATAGATTGGCCTAAGTATTTCTTAATAGAATGTGAAATAAAGTAAAATTAACTATATTCAAAATGGAAAAAAATCCAAAAAAATTTTGAAAAAAAAAGAATTTCATGATAAAAAGCATAAATTTTGCATCAGAAAATTAAATTCAGGTATTTTTTTTGAAATAGAAAGAAGTCCTAAAATTAGTTAAAATCATTTTTATTCAAAAGAAACGCTATTTTTTAAGGAATTGAAAAGAATTTTATTAATAATATTTTATTTATAGAATTTGCATATATATATGCATAGACATATTGAATTGTAAACATGAGAACACTAATTACATTAACTTGTCGTTCAAATTATTGCATCGAAAAAAAAAGTGCTATAAATTTACTCAATTAGTTTACAAACGTAAATATTTTAAACTTTACGTTTGTAAACTAATTTGGTAAACTCGTAGTTCAAATTATTGCATCGAGAAAAAAAGTGCTATAAATTTACTCAATGATATAATTCGCATGAAATTGAAAAATATTGACTGGATGTGTAATGGTTTTATAATTGCAATGTTGATTTGATCGAATTTAAATGAATATATAACGCGATGAAATTTCGAATTGCTCAAATGTCTGTAATTCATATATGGTGCACATATTAATATTACATTTCGTTGATATTTACCACATAAACCTTTAAATATTAGGTCATTTTAAAGTTATATGCGATTTAGTTCCAAAATGCACGTTTAGAAAAAGACGATAACAATTAAATTACAAAATCGATAACAATAACGATTAAATTACAAAATCGATAACGACCCTGGAAGAATAAATCTACCATTGTCCAGCCGCCTTGTTCATTGATGTCCTTGAATGTTGCTTCGAACTCTTTTCTTGGGATTTCCTTATCGCCACCAACAAATGTCATGACAAGGGCAGCCAAAGTATTGATGTAAAGTGGCTCGATTCCAAGGTCCTTGAGCAAGTTGATCATCTCATCATTGGAGATCTTACCATTCTTGTTGACATCAACCTTATCGAATGCATTGATAACCTGAGCCTTCATGGTTATTTGGGAAAGTGAAGTGATTAGCAATTTTTAAAATTCTTTCAAATATTTTATTTGGGTAAAATAAACAAATCGCATAATTTTGAACCGAATACCATACATCTTAATAATGCCTTTTTTAATTCTTGATTTTTTCATTGAAATATTGAATCAAGTGATAGTTATGTCAAAATATTTATTATTAAAAATCATAATAATATTCTATTTCGAATTATTTCGAAAAAAGGCAACCGGAATTCGATAAATTTATCGGAATGATATAAAGCGCTATAATTGGCGACCGAAAAGTAGATCTCTGCGATATTAATTTTAAAGTAAAAAAAAAAAAAAAAAAAAAAAGGTAGTGGGGCCTCCAGGCACTTCGTGCCCTCTAGCCCTGAAGATGTTTAGTATAAAATGAAGTATAAAATGAGGTTTTTTTGGGTATTGGGGGCTTCCAGGCGCGTTGCGCCCTCTAGCCCATAAAAAATTTTTGAGAGTCGTTGCTGTTGACTTTTTTTGTAGAGCACTCAAAATAGTACAACTTTGACCGGACAAGTAAGGGTCTATCGTCGCTACAGGAAAAGTTACGGGCGTTCCAAGGAAGTATACTTTGAGAGACTCTTTAGAAACTTTAGACGTTTTACATAACCATCCATGTTTTTACTTTACATCCGATAAAAGTGGTTTGGAAACCGTTATGAGATGGTTAGAGGACATACATGACTATGAGTTTAGATATGACAAGATAGAATATGAGAGAGGTCTATAAACCGGAGAAAGTGTCATATAAACATCTGTCAAAGCCGCTTTTTAACTTCACTTAAATGCCACGTAAGCTACGTAAGAATATACGTAAGAGGAAGAGAGCATTGAAACATCCAATAGTAAGACTAACACCACAACAACAGTTGCAACAACAAATGCTGAATGACCCCACTATGTTGCAACAAATGTCAAGCAATCCTATGCTTTTAAACCGAGTCATTGGTGCACAGAGTGGAGGTTTAAGAGCGGCACTTTTAGCGAAAATGGCAGGCTATGGTGGAGCTGCAGACGGAACAGCCTATAACCCTCAAAGTCAAATGAATTTGAGTTCACTCAAAAATCAAATAACAGATGTCAAAAAGTCAAACATAGACATACAGAAGCAAATAAGTGAAAACGAAAAGAAACTAGAATATGACAGACACACAAAGAAACTCAATGAGTTAAACGTAGAAAAAGAAGAAAGAAGAACAACTGAAAGAACTAAGTACAGAGGAATATGCGAAAAAAGTGTCAGAAAAAGCAGCAGAAGTAGCAAAAATGGAACAAGATGTTTTAAATTTGAAAAACCATACTACTCAATATAAAGTACTGAAAGATGAAGAAATAAAACAAAAAGCCCTGAAGACATATATGGATAGCGATGAGTATAAAAAAGAAGTTGAAGCAAATGTAAAGGCAGAAAAACTTTTACAGTTGCAAAACCAAACCGTACAGTATGAAAACTTAGCACAAGAAAGTAAAAATAACGACGCAGCCATGCAAAAGGCAATGAAAGCGCAGAATATATAAAAGCTAACAATGACTGGTTAGATGCCCAAGCCAACGCTAAAGCAGCCCAACTTATAGGGTCAATAAGGACAAAAATACAAGCGGATGAAGACAGTTCAAATGAAGCTTTAACGAATGCTGACTTTAAGAACGCCTTCGAAGCTCTTCATAGTAAGGTGAAACTAGTGAACGACTTCTCATCTGGAAAGAAACTGAAGTCTGAAGGTTTCGACAAAGAGTTAAGAGAAGTAGCACAAAATATGACGAAAATAACAGATGCAGCAACGAGACAGGCAGTTCAAAGTGCCTATGACGCCGTTAGAGCAACTGTTGTGAAAAGTCAAGAAAAAGAGTTACAACAGACCAAAACAGACCTAGTAAATGCTTTCTTAAAAACGAAAAGTCAGGTAGGACATTATGCTGCAGATGGAACATATGTGCCAGCTGGTGGAACTTATATACCAGCTGGTGGAACTTATATACTAGCTAGTGGAACTTATATACCACCAAACCCTCCAAGAGAAGCACCTGCACCAGGACTACCTAAAACATTTACATCGTCACATGGACACAGACACAGGCATGCACCAAAACCAACACAACAACCAACAGTTCAAAATCCAACACAACAACCAACAGTTCAAAATCCAGCACAACAACCAACAGTTCAAAATCCAGCACAACAACCACCTCCACAACCAGCACAACAACCACCTCCACAACCAGCACAACAACCACAAACAGAGCAAGGACATAAAAGAAGTAGAGAACAAGGAAACCAAGAATTCTTAAAAATGCTTAAGGAAGACTATGGTTACCCAGATACTCTTGACTTTAGTGACAGATATAAAGAAGCTATTAGAAAGTTCAAGGAAGGAAATACAGACCCGAACCTATTTAGCTTTATGGTTCAGCACCAAATGGGATATAATCTCAAACCTGGAAAATACAAGCTCGCTAAGGGATATGATTTAATAGCATATCATCCAAATGACATGGATGAATTTACTCCGAGATATTTGGTGTCAGAGCTAAATGACAATTCAACTCTCTTCATGAAACGCGTAAAAAATAGAGACGGAACGAAAGAAGAAAGGTTTATGAGTCCGGATGACTTAGATAGGGAACTTGTTAAAAAACGGTCTCGGAAATATGAAATGCCAGCAGATGAGGTACAAGAAACTCCACAGGAAGAAGTTCAGATACAACCAGACATGGAAGAAATAGTTCAGCAACAACAGCTAGAAGAGCCTGAAGGAAACGAACAAGTCCCTCCTTTGGAAACTAACTTCACAGAACTAGATGAAGATTTGGAACAGCCGAAAAATCTTGACCCTCAACAAGAGTATGAGGTGAATATGGAATCTTTCCAAGAGTCTAAAAAAATTCGGCTGACATAGTAGAAGAATATCGAAAAATGTTTGCCGACATACAAAAGACTCCAACACCAGATGAAAATATTCAGCATAGAATGGAAGTACTGAAAGAAAATGTAAGCAAATACAACAACCCTTTTTACTTACGACCATTTAACGTTCAATCTTTGGCTGAACTCGGTGAAAATAAAAGGTTAAATTTCAACAAAACATATAGAAATGAAACATTGTTTAAAGTTCATTCAGAACCTAACCAAGATGGAAACAAACCTACTTTTGTTTCTGCAGACTATGGAACTACAATGAGATGGGGTCATAAAGCTAACCCGGATAGGTGGTTCATAAACTTACAACCACAATTCCAAGAAGTTGTAGACGCAATGGAAGTGAATGGTGAACCAGATATAGCTGGTATTTTCAGCGCGGCTTTAATGCCATTGAAAGATATGAAAAATGCAGATATTTTGGACCAGTATGAAATGAACATGGCTGATGGAAATATAACACCTGACGTTCTAAAACATTTATCTCAAAGAACTACACAGAACCATAAAGATGGTATAGGTGAAGAGTTTAGAAAGAAAGTTAGGGAGAGCGACGGAAAGAACCTATTGTACATGACCTTGCAAACGAAAGTTTACAAAATGTCATAAAAACTTACTTTGCAGACAATGAACCGAGAAGGGATGAATATTTAAGAAAACTCAAATGGACAGTACCAAATGAAATGTTAGTATTGAAAAACATGTTCCTTGACAAAATAAAACCAACTACAGAAATAAATGACGCAAGACTGAAAGATTGGTAGAAGCTTTCCCATTCACAAAAGATATTGTTGGTAACATGGAAAGAAAACCAGAATGGCTACAAAAACATATATTTGGAAACGAGCTTATTCCATATGGACAAGCTCTGTTTGAAGAGCTTGAACCGGAAACTCAGGAAAGAGTCATGCAAACAATACACGAAGACTCAAATACAAACTATGACAAACTCTTTCTAGGATATAGGTTACCTGATGGCGACCAGAGCCCAAAGGCAAAAAGGACATGGGAAATTTACAACATACTAGTAACATGAGGCAAAGATGCAACAACTTGAAGCAGAGGGCAGGTTACCAAAAGCGACACCAAAGAAAAGAGAAAGTAGAACAAAGTGAAAGTAGTGAAGAAGTAACTTCATCTAGTGAAAATAGTGGCAATGAAGGAAAAAGAAGAGTTAAAAATTCAGTCAGGAAGAAAGTAAAGCTTGGTCCGAGTGGTTCTATTATGACATATAAATCCAACTATTCTATATTTTTACCCATATGAAATGTACGCCGCTCAGAATAAACGCCAACAGTTTTGGATGCCATGAATGGAAATGTTTCCGAATGGTATAACGAATGCGACAATGCCATTAGAAGGTCAGAAATAGTTCCTGGAACTTACGAATATACAACTGCTGTTTCTTACGGAAACGTAGGTGAGTTTGAGAAGGTTCTTCAACAACAGTAGATATTGCTTGCGACAGGTTTCATATTATTTCTATGACAACTCTTTCTTATACGTGGAACAAGACATTGAAATAAAACCTTCTGCCAAGTTGTCTGACAAGAAAGGTTGCAATGGAATTTTCTATGTCGGATACCAATATGCTCCAGAAGTTTCATGGGATATAAGATATATTCTAACTCTGACTTAGTTCAAACAGTAACATGGGCAAACTATGAATGGTTTCGCTTTGAGAAACTCAGTACACACAAGCTAGAGAACAAACAGACCAGTATGCAACTATTGAGAAAATAAGAAGACTGACCCTAACGTTCCAGGAGTTTATGTTGACCTTTCTGGACAAACTGCAGCAGCAGTAACCAAAGTAAAACTGAAACTTAGAGTTCCTTTGTCATCTTTCCTCATCTTCAGGTTTTTAAGATACTTACCAAACTGGGCAGGAAAAATTTCTATCGAACTTACTCCAAGCAAAAAAACTTAGTCATTGCACCAACACAAGACCCATTCACTCTTACTGTAGCTGGAACTGGTGGAGCCAAGTTCTGTGACTTTTGCAAAGACAAAGTTGACTTAGACTTGGTTTCTCAAACCTCAACACTGAAGTAAACTATTATTTCAATGCTGCTGGAACTGCTTGGGACCCAGTTAAGTTCACATGCGAAAAATTTGAATGCAAGAGAATAGAAAGCAGACTTGCAGTCTATATGTTGGACCCAATATTTCAAATGCTTTAGCTGCCAAATATATTGCAGTTCCACTTATGTTCCCTATACACCAAATATCTGTCAAAGACTTTGCAGGTGAAGTTGGAAACCAAAGTGCTGACCCAGTGCAAGAACAGATATTGCCTTAACAACTGCAATGAAACATGCAGATACTATTTTGTACTGTTCAGACGAACTATAAATGACTATTCTTGTTTCTACAACCCTGGTATTAAATATCATATAAACATAGATGGCAAATATTATCCAAGAGAAGAATATTCTACAGTGAGGATATGAGGTCATACAACTTGACATTAGATGCTATGAACTTTAACAACAACTTCACAACAACCATTAACCCTGAAATGCAAAGTTCTATTAATGCCATATGTGAAAGTATGGACCCATACAGGAGGTCAAAAAACTCAATATACAAATGGAGACCGTTCAAACTTTGGCTTGGCATTCCATTTGCTGACTCAGAAGACTTTATGTGGTGGTATTTCAACTGTTGGTACAGTTCAAATACATATACTGGTGACAGAGACGGTCCAGATGAATTGAAAGCAAAGAAGTTTACAAAACCAATAGCACTTTTCACGGAAGATGCTCTTTTGAAGATTCGTTCGATGAAAACTGCGGGCTCCTCAGATTGGTATAGACGACAGCTTCCATCGAGCAGATTTTGGCAGCAGGTCAGTAAGTTGTTCTTGAACTGACTTCTCTCCGTCAAATATTGACAGTACGCCAGTTTTGATATAATATTGTATTATAAACTTACCTTTAGAAATATCTGTCAGTTTTGTTGTTATATTTTTGTCAACGTCAAGAACTTTCACCATTTCAGTTATACCAACTTTCTTTGCTTTATGAAAATATTTTGGTTCAGCAAAGACTGCTATTCTATAACATTTTCCATTGTTTGTATAAAGAACTATTCTATCATGAACTTGTATTGTTTGTGTGTGTAAACTTTGTTTTGCTTCAATTCGAAGAGATACTCAAATACGTCCATCTTTTTATTCTAAGTAAAATGTCATTTCCGAAAAATAGAAGCGTAAGTGTTTCAAAAGGTTTAATGGCGGTGGCAGATGTGAAGTTAAATTCACCAACTCAAACAAACAGTCAAAGTGTTGTTGTCAATGTCAAAGACAGAGATGTTGAAGTGGGGAACCATACGAAGACAAAGATGGTATAACATAGTTCCTGTAAAAGAAAACCAACATATCCTGAAGTTAGCAGAGACTTAAGTTCTGTTGCAGATATTCGAAATGACTACAACAACTTAAAGACAACTTAAAACTCAGGAGAAGATTTGTCAAGCTTTAGGTATAATGTTAAACTTGTCGAACACAACCCTGTAAAAGTGAACTCATATGTCATTGCACCTCAGGAAGTTTTGAAAGAACTATTGAAACTTTTGACAGAGGCAGACGATATAAACATCAAAGAAATAGAACCCGACATTGCTTGCTGTGGTGTTTCATATAATGTCATTGACAAGATATACGTTATGAAAGGAGGTGAAACGTTGAACTTAAAATATAGTTTCCAGACGTTATAAAAATATTTTGACGACCACAACATTTCATTAAAATTTAGTTGCTAAGTAAATGGCAGAAGACATAGTGGTTTATACTATTACGACTAAAAACCCTGAGTCATATAATTCTATAACAACAAACTTACAAAGTCCTCAAGGACGATATTGTAAACTAACTTTAAACACGATGACGACTAAAGCCTGTTTTGCTCTTTTGACACCAGAGATTTTATTGTTGTGAATGGTAAAAATACTCCTTTGAAGATACTTACTCAGATATACCACCAACAGGTTTTTGTTGACTTATTTAATACTTTAAGGACGGATGTAACATGTGCTGCAACTAGAGCAGGTTTCATTATGTTTGGATGTCCGACTGATTTACTATAAACGATATGAGCTATAATACAAAACTTATATCTGGTTTTTACTACCAACAGTTTCTATAACAGGAAAAGGTGTCATACAAGGAATGTCTATTCCATTGACTTTAAGTACACCAATCTTATATATTGTTTCAAACTTAGGTTCAAAGTTGTTATTCGAATGTCGACAGAAACTACTATGACCAAAAGATACTTCATGCGTATAAACAACACATTCTCTGCTGGTTTGCTATTGTTCATTCGAATGCAGAGTTTTCAGCTTTAGTAAACTCAAACACTTTAGCAAACATAAACTTAACCTTAGTTGACGCAAACTTTGTTCCTGTAAAACTTTTATGTCCTATGTATTTGTCAATGACGGCAGAAAGTTTCGAATTGGAAGATGCAACTGGTGAAAGTATTGTATTACAAGAACAACTTCAACAACAAATAGCTCAAGAACAACAAATGCAACAAATGGAACAAATGCAACAACAAAGTCAAGAATAAAAAAATATTTTTTTTATTTTTATAAAAATGTACAGAATAGATGTTTCAGATTTTTATGACTTCCAAGCGTTCAGAAATATGTGTCCATTTAGAGACTATAACAAAGCAGTCGAGAATTTGAAACGCTTTAGTCATTTATGTCGACTCTGCCCCAGAATGTTATGTCATGAAAGAATGGGATGTAGTCTTTAACAAACCTAAAGCGACAATAGTTTCAGAACAAGAATGTAAACAGAAACTTAAGAAAATAAAAGTCGTACAAGTTGGCATGAAGATGTTAGATGCTTGGGATATCTTATTGTCAAAACTTGAAGATTTTTCAGTTCGTGTATAAAGTTCTATACACCTTCTCCAAAACTTCTATTCTATCTTCACTGGATATAAATACGAACAAGTAGAATGGAAA